ATATATAAAAACTAAATTTAAGACTTTTATCTTGGAAGTTATGACTTTTTCCCCACAAATTTATAACTACCAGTTTTATTCTCATAAACTTTTGTATTATTTGCAGAAAATTTAACTTTTTTAATCTTTCCAATTTATGGCTTTCCAACACGAGACAATAACTGAGATTTTTCATGTAAAAGTTTAAGATAAGTGTTGGAATTTCTCCGTTTTTTTATTTTTATTTTGCCTTCCAGCTGTCTTTTATTTTGTATTTACAGTAACCCTGTTTGTTATTGTGAAATGTAGCTAAAAGTGACTTTCACTTCTTTTTAAACCTCATTCTTGTGTTTTGGACTCTTTCTGTCTCTCAGATTCATGTTTTGTCTCCTCAGACTCTTCGAGTACCACGGTCGAGTCGTGCCCCCGGCCCGAGCCGTGATTCCCATTAAACGGTCTCGGCTCATCGTCCCATCCGCTCGCAGAGCCAAGTCCTCTTTTCCAGTCAGGACCTGCTCCTCCTCGTCCTCCTCCTCCTCTTCATCCTCCAGAGCAATCAACATGGGCTCTTCCGTCACCGGACCCAAATGTATGACGTCAGCAGCGAGTCTTAAAACACATTTTTCCTGCTTCACATTATTCATATTGATTTGATCACGGTCAATATCAAACCTTTACAGAAACAAGGTGCTGCAGTTTTAAAGTTTTCATCAAAGAAAAAGCAAAAATTTCAAGTTGAAAAATGAACACAAGTCTCTGATCGACTGTGAAAACAGGTCAGAGGTCGAATTTAAAGTTTTTAAATGAAACACGTATGTTTTATCTGGTTGTCATGTCAGATACTTCACTTAGATTTCTCTGTAAAAAAAACATAGTTTAACAAGAAGTGGCTCAATTACTCGATTCAGGTTTTTCATGTTTAGCTTCCAACGTGAGGTTAAATATTTAAAACGTTTATATTTTACAATAAAAGAGGTCCGACTTGAACGAAAGGAAGAAATATATTTGAGTCAGACAAGACAACTGTTTATTTTTTCTTAATAGAACAAATCTGTGCAAACTTTTGGCTTTTTTTCTTGTTAAAAAAAACAACTTTTTATAACTTTTTATAACTCCAAACTTTGTCACAAACTGATTCATTAGTGCCTTAAGGCTCAAAAGATGTTCACTTCATCCAGCTGTTCTCAAAAATATTTTCTTTTATTATAGTAATATGTTTTTATTCCTTAATGACAGTTGCCGTCTCACTTCTTGTCGGGGCAGCAGGATGTTTCGCAGCAACATTTACTTCAGGTTCTTGTCGGGGGCTTTTGGATGAAGAAATGCACGACAGAGACGTCCGTTAACGCTGCGTTCAGCAGAAACCGCGGCCGATGAGAATCGTCTTGAACGTTGTGATTTTTCTGCTCGCAGTGAAGAACGACCAGCTCCTAACCATCAAGAAGGAGCTCTCGCAGATCAAGACGAAGATCGACTCGCTGCTGGGAAGGTTGGAGAAGATTGAGAGGCAACATCGCTCTGACGCCGGTAAGAAGCCCGTCTGCCGGCGGAGCTTCTGCGAATATGTTTAAATATTTGATCGTGTAGTTTTATGGATGAAAAGACAAAGGCAGGCTCACAGAAACACGTTGAAGCTTTATGAAGTGGCTCGTCTGAAAAGGGTTTTAAAAATAAACACAAATCATGTTTAAATGTTAACTGAGAGTTCCGCTGTGTCTGTTCGCCAGAGATGCAAAGAAAACAGGAGGCGGCGTGTGAGCGTCTCCATGGCGACGCAGAGGACCACTCTGGAGGAGAGGAGGCGGAGGAGACAGCCGAGGTGGAGGCAGGCGAGATGACGGACGGCGGCGAAGACGACTTGGAAGATGAGGGCGCCGGCGACCTGGTGAGCGGGCCAAGTGGACCCGAGCGGTCTCATCAGAACCAGACTGGAGTCTCCAGAACCCTTGAACCAACATCTGGACTCAGGGACTTTGTTTGCCTCAGCTGTCGGTTTAGTTTTCTGTTATTTTTGCAACATTAAATAGTTAAGTTTGGAAAATCTGACACAACCTTTGTTAGTTAAATAATTATTAAAACATGAGATTTACAGACCTTCTTACACGAAAGAATAAAAATCTATGACACGTTATATTTTTGTTTCAGAGCTGTCTCAAGGCGTAGGCCCAAACACAGAGCGCGGCTAAGAACAAAAAATAAAATCTGTAAATAAAAAAGGACTAAATATTTGTCAGGTCGTTTTAATTTTATGATTGTGCCAAAGAACAAGCGGTCCTGGTCTAGATGAAGCTGTCTGACAGACCGTGTGGCGATGAAAGCGGTAAAGCTGCATCGGTCAGGTGGACAGGTGGTCTCTGTTAGCAAAATATCCCATAAAGTGATGGATAAATTTGATTAAAATTCAGATTGCCGCCTCCACAGCTGATTAACTTTGAAGTCAACCAAGCTGAAGATGGCTGCCAGAGCTAATTGACATTTACCAACAAAAGATTTCTTGAACTTCGACAGTTTTACGAATATTGAGCTAAACGTTGGTGTGGTAGTAGCTGAGAGTCACTCTAGCACATAGTCTTGAGTGCGACAACTTTCACCAGCACCATTTTTACAGGAATCGGTTATTTCATGAAACCTTCAGTTATTTCTAATAATCATGTCTGTGCGGTTGCATATTATTCAATATTTTCTTACATGGAGCGAATAAAAGGCCCGATCAGAACCAGATTTAAAATCAAAGAGTGACGACTTGAGTGCCTCTGGTTTCTGCTGTAATGTCATTTTCTGTGTTGCAGATGGAGAACCACATATCAGACATCGACAACTGAGTACGGTCAGTATTTAGTCTCCTCTTTAATGTGAACACAACCGCCTCGTTTATCAGGCAAACCGTTTAGGAAACAGCAGAACCCTGGCAGCGATCCAAATTATTAGTTTCCGGTTTTCACCGAAACGCACAGAAAAGCAGCCGATGAGTTTGAAGTTTTCTGCACCTCTCTGTTCTAAACGACTCTCCGTGTAGAAGACAAAGTAAAAAGCATCGAGGACTGTCTGAGCAGCCATAAAGTGAGGACCCCGTGTGTTCGGCACTTTGCAGGAAGTGACATTTAATTCTCCCCTGGTTTCTTTAAAAGAACAAACGGCTATAAGACGTTACCTCATCTCTTGGCTGACATTTCCTCCCTGCTGTCCTCAAGCATCAATCTATCTTAGAAACTGATGGGCAGAACATTTTTATTATTTCACGCTCCTCAAACACTTTTCATCACCTCCGCACCGAGATCAAGGTCACAAATCAAGGTCAAAGTTAAAACAAGGTCATTGCTCGTCCGTGTCATTGCTATAGCTTGCCGTATAATAGTTTGTCGATGGAAATATACCGTAATTTCCAGACTATTGAGCGCACCTGAATATAAGCCACGCCCACTAAATTTAAAGAAAAGATTTTTGGACATAAATAGGCCACGCTATAAGCTGCAGGTGTCCATGTTGTAAAATATATTTTTTAACTTTTAATTAAATACGTAGCGGTAACGTACACAAATTCATGCTGTAGAGTAAAAGATTTTCTCTTTCTGAACAATGCCTGTAACATGACTGGTTAAAAAAATAAAAATACAGGGGCCCTTCAGAAAAAAGTCATTGATTGTGATCTTCATCTTCCTTTTGCGCAGTAAAACCACCAAAGTCGTCTTCATCATTGTCAGAACTGAAACGGCCTCAGAAAATCTTAATCACACACGTCCTCAGTCTCTCTTTTGTTGTCGCGCTCAACGTCACTTTCGTCTCGAGGTAAATTTGCGATTTGATTGGATTTACTATCCACACTTATTTCGCGTGGCTGCAAATACTTTGTTGTGCCCCCAGGGAGGGGGGCAACTTCCATTGGGACATGTTCGGTAATTTCATTGGTCAGATTTTATTTTTTTAAACCTTTACTTCTACAGGTAGTCTCACTGAGTCATGAGGAGCCACGCCCCAAGAGAGACGTGTATTGCGCAGCTCTGGGTGTGACGAGGCTAAATGTTTTGGTGTCATGAAGCTCTTTAGTCCATCAAAAATAAAAAAATAATCATAAATTAGTCGCAGCATTGTAAAAGCCACAGTGTTCAAAACGTGAAAAAAGTAGCAGTTTATAGTTTGGAAAATACAGTAATGTGCTTTAGGCAGTACTTTCATTTTCAGGCAGTTTTTATTCTTGTGCTGACAGTGAAAGATACTGAAATTAATTTTCTTTTTTTTTGCTTCAAGTTTGGGGAAAGTCACGAAGAAGAACAAAGGATGTTTCAACAACAACGACCAGTGAAACCTTTCTTGTTGAAGGAGGTGTTTAAATGAAACAATGAGGGAAGTGACTGACGGCAGAGGGAGGCGAGTTGCAGCTTGTTCGCCTCATCGAAACGCGACGCTCCTGATGTTGATGCTCCATCAAACCGCTGGGTAAAAATGTCCTCCAGACAAGATCAGCTGCGAAGAGAAACAGATAAACTCCCCTCAGACCGGCTGCTTTTCTCTGAAATGGGGACAAAACAGTAAATTGTGAGCTTAACTTATATACAGTACATGTATAAAGAAAACAGTCTGTATTGTGTAAATAATGTTATGTGAAAAGAAATGTTTTTTTTTTTATTTTGTTGTTTTTCAGTGTTTCTGTGAATTAAGCCACATTTCAGGGAGTGAGCTAAATATGAATGTAAGACAAACTCATGTTTTATTTGTCTTGTTTTTCTGCACCCTCTCCACGCTGTAATGTGTCATTTGTTCTGCAGTCCAAGAGGCGATTTAAATTCTTTGCATTCTGTTTATGGTAATCAAAAGATGACAGATATTTCCTACCAGCATGTTAAAGTGTGACTTTTACAGATGATTTGTTTCCGTCTGTTGTACAGCCGTGATCTGAATTTTTGTCATAAATCTGCCACCATCTTAAAACAAAAACAGAAAAACAAGGTATGTGTGTGTTGTGCTTTATATCTAAAAAGATTTTGTGTTTCCTCAGTTGAGCAGAATTTCTCAACAACCCAAGACAAAACTTTTTCATTTAACCATATTTTGCAGAGGAACAAAAAAAGCTTCCGCTCATGGTGGACCAACCTGCAACATCTCAAAGATTCGAGACACGTTTTGACATTAAGCTTTTAAAAAGTTGATCCTCATGATTTAGAAAACCTTTCCAGGTTTTGTAAAGATTGCAATTTTGTAAAGTTGCGAGATCGAACCCCGGCCGTGGGACCTAACTGGGTGGAGTTTGCATATTTTCTCCGTGCATGCGTGGGTTTTCTCATGGTACTCCAGTTTCCTCCCACAGACCAAAAACATGCATGTTAGGCTGACTGGTAACTCTAAATTGTCCCTAGGTGTGAATGAGAGACTGAATTATTGTTTGTCTCTATGTGCCCCTGTAATGGACTGGTGACCTGTCCAGGGTGTCCCCCGCCTCTCACACAGTGACTGCTGGACATGGGCACCAGTGACCCAAAAAGGAAAAAGTGGGTAAAGAGGATGGATGGATGGATGGGTGGATGATGGATGGAGGGACATATAGATGGATGCTGGATGGATGGATGAACAGGCGGATGTCTGGACAGATGAATGATGGTGTTGAAGGTTATAGTATCTTAAGACGGTCAGGGTCAGCCATGGTCACTAGTTAACAAAAATCACTGCCTTTCTTTTCTTGTTTTTTCTTACCTTGAATGATTGAGTGATTAGTTTATGCATTTTATATGGTTTTTAAATGAAGAACTTATTTAATTACAAACTATAAGCTCATAGCACCACCGTCTGGTAACCCTATGGAGGAGTTTCCGTCCATCTGTTAGCAAAATATTTCATGAAACACTGGTCAGATTTTAATGAAACTCAGGAAGTAATCACTAAATGTACAGTTACAGCCGATTAACTTCAGAGAACCAATTCAAAATGGCTGCCACAACTTATCAACAATAGCCAAAACAAAGATAGCTATGACTCAGCCAGTTTACCAATGAATACTTGGTGTGGTATTAGCTGAGAGTCATCCTCATTACAGTCTCTGAGCACCTCACAGATCTCATGAGATCACATGGTGTCTGATGACACTCTTTGTACACCGCCTTGTGAAAGTATTCGCCCCCTTGGCTTTTTATATATTTTGTTATATTAAAACATGTATTTTCAAATATGTAATTTGAATTGTAAACAATGTGTCTGCACAAAATAATCCTAAGTTGGTGTAGTAATATGAGAAAAAAATATTTAAAAAAATTCTGAAATAAAATACTGAAAATTGGCATGTGCATAGTCACCCTCTTTGCGATGAAGCCCCTAAAAGGTTCTGGAGCAACCAGTTACCTTCAGATGTCGCATGCTTATTGAAATGAAACGCAATCAAAGTGTCACATGATCTGTCAGTACATGCACACCATTTCTGAAAGGCACCAGAGGTTGTAACACCAATAACAAGAGGCGCCACTAACCAAACACCACCATGAAGACCGAGGATGGACAAAGTTGTTGAGAAGTACAAGTCAGGGTTGGGTTATAACAACATATCCAAATCTCTGATGATCCTCAGAGCACCATTAAATCCATTATCATCAGATGGAAAGAACATTGTACCACAACAGACCTGCCTAGAGAGGGCTGCTCAAAAAACCTCTTAGATCGAGCACGGAGGGCATAAATCAGAGAGGCAGCACAGAGACCAAAGGTATCCGAAGGAGCTGCAGAGTTCCCAAGCAGAGCTGGAGTATCTGTCCATACAAGCACAATAAGTCTTACATTCCATGGAGCAGGACTTTATGGAAGAGTGGCCAGAAAAAAAAACTTTACAGAAAAAATATGAAGACTCATTTTGAGTTGGCCAAAAGTGGGTGTGAGACTCCCTAAATGTAAGGAGGTGCTCTGGTCAGAGCAGACCAAAACTGAACTTTTCCACCACCAAGGAAAACGCTATGCCTGATGCAAAACTAACGTATCACCCCAAGAACACCATCCCTACAGTGACACACGGTGGAGGCAGAATCATGCTGTGAATGGTTTTCAGCAGTTGGGACAGGGGAAATGGATGGTGCTAAATACAGGGATATTCTTGAGCAGAACCTGTTTTGGTCTGTCAGTGATTTGAGACTGGGACAGATGTCCACCTGCCAACAGGACAATGGTAAATGGACTGAACTTACATGGCACCTTTCTATCTTATCAAGATACTCAAAAAGTGCTTTACGATCTGTGTCCTCATTTACCCATTCATACAACACTCTACTATATCTGTACAAAGAATAATCAGTGCTTTATCACATTCATGCACTGATGGGACACACATCGGAGGCAATGAGGGGTTCAGTGTCTTGCGCATGGACACTTCATCATGTCACTGCTGGTGGAATCAAACCCCCAACTCCTGCATTGGAGGTCGACTGCTCTAACCACTCAGCCACAGCCGCCCAATGACCAACGAGCCATGATAATGACGCCATACACAATGACCCCAAAGCTTCCTGCCAGCAACACTCGAGTGGTTTAAGGGAAACGTGTAAATGTATTGAAATGGCCCAGTCAAAGCCCAGACCATAATCCAATTAAGAATCTGGTCAGACTTGAAGATTCTTGATCACCAGAGAATATCTAGTTTTAACTTGAAGGAGCTGGAGCAGTTCTGCTTTGAGGAATGGGCTATAAATCCCCAAAGGTGGCTCTACAAAGTACTGACTTTAGCGGGGATGAATCGTTAATATGCACACTGAAGTTTTCTGTTATTTTTGTCCTGTTTGTTTTTTGCTTCACAATAAAAAGAAAATCAAAAGTTCAAGTCGTGGACAGGTTCTGTAAATGAAGTGATGCAAACCCTCAAATAACCCATTTTAATTCCAAGCTGTGAGATAGCAAAACGCAAAAAATGCCAAAGGAGGGTGAATACTTTTGCAAGGCACTGTATATGCATACCGTTGTATGATCCATGAGGCCTCAGAGTTCAGACTAAGACCTCATGGATCATTTTGATCCAAGGGCAGCAGGAGGGTTAAGCTTCTCTGGATTGGGAACTGGATGAAGATATAGTGTGCAACTTTTTCCGAGTTGTCTGTGAAAACTTTGCATTTATTGACTGGAGGCAGACAGGCAGCTGGAGAATTTAACCAACAAATCAATGCATGCTAATATAACACATGATGTTTTACAATAAAAAAAGACTTATGTCTGATATAAGCAGCCACTGCCTGAACAGTTCTGCCCTGGGACTGCAGCAGAAAATGTAGTTTCATATGTGATAAGCCCATCCTGTCAAGACTGGAGCTTTATGACTGTTGGTGGACGGGGACAAGGTTTGTCTAATGTCTTGTGTTATTAGCTTCATCCCGACATATTGAAGCTACAGAAAAGTGTTTGAGCAGAGAGAAGGGCGAAGAGCTGCAGTGACAGAGTACGAGACAGAAAGATGAGGCAGTATGTTGATAATTTTGTGGGTTTTAAGCAATTTAAGTTTGGCATTTTGGTGTACAAAAATTATACTTTCATAGAAACAGTTAAAACAGTGTGATTTTTATTAATAGTTTTTAGAAAGCTGTCACTAGTTTCTTGACTAGTTCTGTTTTTGTTAAATTTATATACATTTTGTAATGATGGGTGTTGTTTCCTCAGGCTGAAATGGTTCAGTCTTTAAAGAAGCAACGGGTAGATGGATGCACGGACTTTTTAAAAAATACAGAAAACAGCTTTAACAGTAAAATTCTGATTGCACACTACAGCTTAAGCAACGAGCTATGATTTGATTTGTATGCATTTTATTCAGAAATGTATCTGAGCACATTACTACAGTCCTTCAGGTGTAAAATGAGCCTCTAATGTTCAAATTTTAGGAATGTCCCATCAGCTTAAACCATATGTGTCAAACTCAAGGCCCTAGGGCCAAATGTGGCCCTCGTTGACATCTTATCTGGCCACTAAGCTGTTATTTTAAATGTAAAATACTTTTATCACTTTAATGTTTTTCAGTAATCTTTGATTATTATGTCAAAAGTGCAACAGAGAACGTCAAATGAGACCAATCAAACGCTTGCTGAAAAGATGTTGTGTATCTGACTTGATTAAATGGAGATTCTGAAACCAGCCCTTAGTTTGAAAAAGGTTTTAATTTTGGTCCCCTTTTGTAATGAGTTTGACAGCCATGGCTTAAACGGTCTGTCAAGAGAATGTGTATTATTTGCACATATTTGCATAAATCTGATGAAGCTTACACCTGGTTATTTTGGGAATCCCTTTTTTCCACGACAGGTCCTTTTGTGTTCAGAAAAACCCTAAAATCAAAATGTTACAAGAAAACTTAAATGTCAAAGAGCCTGGAGCTTCATTCTTGTCATCAACCTTAAACTTGTGTCAGACGTGATTTAACCCTTCTGTCCTTTTGTCAAAATGACCCCTGAGATTGAGACCTTGAGGCTCATTTGGACCTGTTGGCTCTGAGTATCTATCGTTTCTCTTCTCAAACTTTTTGTGCCCTTGAAAACGACAGAGTGTGGAGGATGTGGAGGCCTGGCAGCAACAGATGGCTTTTCTAATTCAGTCACTTCATTAGCACCAGATCATCATTTCCACAGGTTAAGGAGGGCCGCTGGCCGGTTTGCAGGTATAATTGGTTCTGTCACAGCTGGCCAGCAGCCGGTGAGTACAGTAATCCGTCACGCAGCTGCTGTAATGTGGCCGATGATCAGATGAGATGAACTGAATCAATCACCGGCATGTGGAGCTGCTGGAGATGTTATGAGCTTAATGAGGGTCAGGGTCTTTCTAATTCAGCTGTGATTAACCGAAGCTCCGGCAAAACATGCAAAGAATTGTTTCAGAGGTAAAAACTGAATTAAAGCTTTGTTATATCTTAGGGACATAAAATAGTGAACAGATGTTTGTTTTTATTGCTCTGTGATGAATTTTAAACACAGTCTTGTGTACTCATCTTCATAATCTGCCTTACAGATGGTAAATATTCATTTATTGAAGCAATTTATTGCACTTCTCACACATTCATAATTAATTTCAATCACATTTACAAAGAGTTATCATCCCTGCACCTTTGTGATTATTTTTAAAATAAGCATTGCATATGCCACCATAAAAGAGCTTATATTTCCATTAGAGTTTGTTTGTTTTGTTTATTGAAAGACAAATTTTTTTTTTAATTATCTGTGGATTTGCAGACGAGAAAGATAAATAGTGCTACTGATTAAAAAACGCAGCTGCTTTTTTTCCTTCTTCATAAATTTTCTCATTACATCACTGATTAGTTTTGCCTCAGACTGAGCTAAAATGCAAAATAAATTAAAGACGGATTCCAGTTTTGATTCAAAATATGCTGCTAATGCAGTGAAAAGTCAAGCTTTGTGTTCAACATACTGTTTTTTAGATTGTAAATGCTATAATTACTTTTCCCACTTCTTAAACATATAAAGAAGTAATTCTAGAATAAACCTGGGTCTTAATATTATGAAACACAAAAGTGATGAAATAAAAGACCTGAAATTATGTTTAAATTAAAAAATAAAATCTCTTTCAGAAACGTTACTTATCAGCTGATGTAACACGTGCAGTCAGTACATTATGAGAGTAAAATAAAAAGTAAATCTTAGTGTAAAAATATCTGTAGATAGATGCTGAAAATAGCTTCCTTATTTATTCATTTTTAACCAGGATGGTTCATTAGTGGGCGGAGCTAGTGAACTTCCACCGGAAGTTAACCGTTAGCGACCAAAAGTAAACAGGAAGTGAAATCTTAGAAGCGGCCAGTTTAACTTTGCGCAGCTGAACAAATACATGCTGTTCGAAACTCCTTGAAGTTATTTCTTATTTACGTATTTTAAACGAAACATTAGCAGCTTTTTGACCGTTTTTATGAGTTTTACCCGACCTATGTGAACCGATAATACAAGTTTTTTTAACCTCCTATTAACTCGGGAGGCAGTAGCTTCGTTTAGCTAACTTGAATAACACGTTGGGATGATTATTTTTAAAATTAAGCAACGTTTTCTACATATTTTGTCTGCTATGACAATATTAATTAGTTTTTCTTTTAACTAGTTTTTAATAATCTAACAGACAGTAAATATAGTTGAGTATCGTCGGTATGGGAGACAACAACAAGGAGCTCATCCTTATTGATAAAAAGTTAACGAGGTAAACACTTCTACTTTGATTTTTACATAAAACACATTTATAAGGTGTTTAAAACCTTAAAAACGTGTGTCAATTGTAGTGAAATCCAAGGTAACAAAATAGATTTACTAGCAGAAATCTGACAAAAATAATTAAAAGCTGAAGTATAAATTATGCTGAATTACAATTAATGCATTAATTTTTGTTTTATTAGTATTTTAATGTGAATGGTTAACGCTTATACTTAATATCCTTTGCAAAAGGCAGTTTGTTGTTGGGTTCAGAGCCACAGAACTTTACTGTACATGTCTGCAAACATTAAAACAAAGTTAATCAAATAAGAACATAATGACCACAAATGCCATAAAGAATATTTGTATTTACATATATTACATTTTCCCTCTCATAACAATTATTACATAAATAATTGCAACAAGGATCAGTTTTGTGACCCAAATATTGGAGTCTCAACTCACTTGTATAATTGTAATTTTGTATTTATCACTTTTTGGGGTTTTTAAAATCTGGGATAAGTGAAAAAGAAACAAAGTGATTTTCTTTAGTTTTTTTTTTTTTTTGTAGACAAACAGAAAACGAGCAGACCTTGAATCACATATATTCATCATTACACATTTTAAAGTGGAAAAATTACCCATTAGTTGTGGAACAGTTAATCTGCAGTAATGTCACAGTGACTCTAAGAGACTGCATCTTAAGTTGCTGCCTTCTGTTTAGTTTGGTAGATCTTCCCTTGAGACCTGCTGTTACGTCACTTAATCTGCGCTGCAATCACATCACAAGGATCGAGGGTCTGTCCTTAGCTTGGCATCTGCACCACTTAGACCTTTCCTCCAATCGCATCTCCAAGATTGAGGGTCTGAGTTCTCTCACATCTCTCAGAACTTTGAATTTATCATCCAACTTAATCACAAAGGTTGAAGGTAAGTTTTTTTTTTGTCTCTGTTTTCCTGAGTTATCCAAGTAAGATTTCTTTCTTCCTTGGTATAACTTGTGTTTATTGTCACTTCTCTGTGACCCACTTATAAATGTCCTCTCCCTGTACATCAGGGCTGAATGGCCTGGTGAACCTAACAAGATTAAACTTGTCCTACAATCAGATAAATAACCTCACGGGTGAGTCTGAGCACTTTTCTGCTTTTTCTTTTTTCCTGCACCAAATGAAAAGTTTTAACACATCACAGATACTTCGATAAATTAGATTTTTCCAACTCCTTGCTAGGTTTGCTGTATCTCCATGGCACCGAGTACAAGCTGAAGCACCTCAGTCTCCATGGCAACCGCCTTGACAGCATCGATCATCTCTTGCAGTGCCTGCTGGGATTACAAGGTTTACGAGATGTCACTTTAAGTCAGGATGGTGGAGACAACCCTGTCTGTGGTTTACCTGGTAGGAGTAAAAGTGTTAACTTTGGTGTGCGTCATTTCACAAATATATATTTTTTAATGATACAGAAAGGTTAAATATATTTATCAAATTAAAGCTGATAAAATCATCCAAACAATTTAATGAATATTCAATTTGAACAAGGAAACTAGACTAAGATAGTTTTGTATTAGCAAAGATAGGCAAAGAAGAACTGCTTTGTCATTCTTGGCTGTTCTGCTTTTACTTGCAGAAAAACATGTACCACCAACTATTCTGTCTGTTTGGTTTCTTTGGTATTGAGAGCTTTAACGCACAGAAAATGTTGTGAGAATCACAAACAGTACAAAGCATCTTTGTTCATCCCCGTAAAGACAAGTTGTGCTTTACTCCCTCTTCCAGCCCTTGCTGTCTGTGTGTAGATGTACTCGTGTAAGCTGCACTCAGATCTAGTTATATAAGCTGCATCTGTAGTGCATAAAAAACAGAAGCTTTTTGTTTGACTAGAACTTGATTTGATCCAACAAACACAGCATCTGATGATAAATGACTGGAATGAGGATAATGCCATGGAAAGCCATGCGTCGCCAGTTTTGTCAAGTTTTTCTAAATGCACATGGGTTTCTGTTTCACTGAAGGTTACTGGGAAATGGTTATGGAAACACTGCCGCAAATTTCTGTTCTGGATGGTTTGGACCGGCTTCGACAGCCATCATCTCCAGGTTTCAGCAGCCTCTGTGACATTCCAGGCCTGGAAGACTACGTGGACTTTTTGATTTCCTCCGATACAAGTCACAACGAAGTGGTAAATTTAGATATTATCTGAACCTAACGGTTGACTACAACATTTTGATCTTTAATTGTTATTTAATTGACCAATAAAATAATATTTGCCAAAACGGAAACATATAATCTAAATTCTTTACAAACAACGTTTGAAAATTCACTTCCAATGTCAAGATCATTTGAGTTTGAACGTTTGCAGCAGCTTCACTGCTCACAGTTCAATAAAGTGCTTTACATGTGTGTTTCTTTAAAAAAATTTTCATTGCAGGTCAAAGGCGCAGTTACTACACCTCGTATTGACAAGGTGCTCACCCAGTTTCGTCAGCAGGTTGCTTCAGGAGCCGTCACAGATCCAGTCAATCAGAGTTCCCTGCCAACTCTTCCCACTGCAGTGGATCCACCAGACCCCATTAACGAAGAACGCATCAGAAAACTGGAGCACCAGGTGTCCCAGCTCATCCAGAAGGTGCATTATTAACCTGCTGAAAGCCATTACCACAGAAATGGAACGACTGGTTGTTTCACACCTGTCATGCTCTCTCTACAGCAGGCGGATGACATGTCTTATCGAGGCTCCATCCCAGCTATTTACTTATTACAGTAATGTGCAAATGTTTTAGACATGTACTGTTTAACTTTTCAATCACATCAGGGAAATGTTGGATCAATCTCAAGCTTTGCTTTAGCCTGAAGCCAAATAATAGTCTCAGTAAAAAGGATCTTTCTTCAGTTTCAAAAGCCAGACGTCCTGCGGCTGACTGAGTCCCAGAGAGCTCTGATTTCAACATCTCTGATCAGGGTGCCTACGTAGTCTTAAAGAATATGGGAGTTTAATTTGAGTTTAGTATTTTCCAGATCTGGATAAGTGTGTAAAAATAAAAACAGTAAGGCCAAATTGCTGCTTCAAGAAAAAATATATATATATATTTTTTAAGTTGCTCAAACATTCATCAACAGTCGATAAAACATTTTTGAGACTATTTTGAAAAGACAGAAGGTTTTTCAGCATCGTCTTCCTTTTTATTGCCTTTAACACACAGTACTGTAACTCCTTCTGCCAGATATCTTGTGTGTGTGTTTTGTCTCTCACAGTCTGTTAACATCTTTACAATATTTACCAAAGGCTCCTGCAGGTTTAAAATCAAACCTCTCTGCCCATTCTGTGGCCAAGCTACGGAAAGCCAAGAGGGACACTGACCACACGTCAGAAAGCGAGCGTGACAGTGAGAAGGAAAACGGGAGACACGCAAGGATTTACAAACAGATTAACATCACGACATCAAGTCCAACCACTCAGGAGACGAAGAGCACGAGATCTGACAGGTGGGTCGACGGAAAAACAATAAATCTGAAGTTGCTTTATTTGAAATTTTTAAAAAAAATTTTTCCTGCATTCTATTTACATTTATTCGTCATAATTTTGATGTATTATCTTACTAACATTTTGAAAACTGACTACAAATTAGACTGGTCATTTTTAACACCTTTCAACTAGTTCTTGAATATAGTGTTGTATATTCAGCACAAACCACAGTTTACTCACGCAGGTGTGTTTGTAAAGAAGTAGGGACAAAATTTACATCGATAATAATCCAATACAAAGTGCATAATTTGTTATTTAAATCTTTTACATTTCAGCTGAAGAGGATGATAATTATTCTACTCTGACCTTTCACCACCTCCCTGGTGATTAATGACTATATTTCCATGATCTATTCCTTCATTTTCTTTCATCAGCCACTGATTACATAAGTTAAAAGTTAAGTAGTTTCATCAAGCAAGCCTAAGAGTCCTCTCAAAAGAACAGTAAACTTCACATTTATTTTAAAGTTGTTCAAACTTTGCTTGCCTGCAAGTCTGACCTTTATGTTGCCAAACATCCACAAGAGAACTGTTTGCGTCAGGATACATTTTAAAGTCTGCTGTATACGTGTGGTTCTGTTTTGTTTTCCAGCGATCTGGAGAATCGTAAACTGAGGACTTCAAAGTCTGCCGTGGGGCCCAGAAGAAAGGCTGCAGGTGCAGGGGGTGTCAAGGCAGCAGCACAAACAAGCAAGGGACCTGTGAGAGCAGTTAAGACCTCCGGCGATGTGAAAGCCAAGTCCACCCGGGATGGGGAAACCTACAGGGTACGCTGTGGATAACTCACCTGCAGCTGACTGGTTGCAGTTTTTTAAGTGAACATAATTTAAATAATAAAAAGTTATTTTTCACTACACTTTAATATTTCAATCTGATGTATGAATCTGCAATCAACAATAAAAATTGTTACCAGTTAACATTATTAACGGGTTGTTTGAGACTTTCATCCAGCCTGTTGCAAAACTAATAGTGGAATTTGTCTTTACTGACTGTTTATATGAGATTTCAACTTATTTATTAGTTCAAAGACAAGTGATTCAATCAGTTTATGTGTGGGAGTGTGTTTGAGCTGGACATTGAACCCTCAGACTGCCCCTCAAATACCTTAAATGTATAATTATAAAGAAAAATCTAGAATAGAATAGAATTCAACTTTATTGTCATTTCACATGTCACAGGTACAAATGCAGGCAAACACAGTAATATGAAGTGTTTTAATGCAAGTGTCAGGAAAGCATTTTGTGGAAAGTTTATACAATTATCTAAATGCTGACATGCTATTCCCACCTAATGTTTTTCTTTTTTAATTTTTTTATTTGTGATGCTCAGACGATCATGGAGGAGCGTGATCAGGAAAGAGAAAGACGCTGGAAGGCAGAACAAGCCATGCGGAGGCTGACAGAGGAGCTGAAGTGCCTGCAGACAAAGGTCAGCGAGGAAAAAGACCTTCAGAGCATGGCTCTGCACACCACAGACAGGTGAGAGGGAAGCACTGATGGACACACAAACTCCCACATGAACCGGCACTGCAGCGCTGAGGCTCTGAAGCAGATGTCATGCTGGGAACAAAAGCATAAATGAACACGTCTCTGTGGATTTTAGCTGTCAGCTGCATAATGGATCCTCATCATTCTCCACCCTCATAATCTTTATATGAGCTCTCCTGAGAGCAGCGCCACCTGCCAGAGTATCCATACCACCATTGTCCCTCTAACTCTGTGCAATTGTTTAGCAATATTACCTATAATTAGTTTAAAGATCATTAAGATAAACCCTCATCCATTAAAAACCCTTATATTAAATGTCTAGAGGCAATGATTATCTCGTATAAACTTTTTTCTTTCTATTGTTATGAGGCTGTCGTGTCTGCACTCTGCAGATAGTTGTTACTTTTTGTGTGCTTTCCTTTTTTTCATCTCATTTCTGTTTAGATAAATCAGCATGATGGTGTAATTAAGGGCTTAACGCTCATATGTCAGCAGGATTACACAAGTCGCTCTCAGCTGTCACTTTCTAACAGCAAACACAACCGTTCCTGTCAACATCGACACTCCTCGTGAGACGGATTGAAGAAAAGTGACTCATCAAGGCAGATTTGAAGCTACTGAGAATGACATATTATATTTAGAGGGTGTCTGATTTGTACTGTGTACACATCTTGATTTTTTTTACTTATTGTGTTCTAGATTGAATAAAGCTGTAATATAAGACTTGCTCAAGGTTTCCAGTATAGCGTCACAAACCCTGTGATTTTTATTTAAATTAGAAGTGTGTTCTCACAGAATCTCACCATCTTTTCACCCCATACAGACTTAAGGAGATGTTGCTGAAAGAGAGATCAGGACGCGCTGAGCTGCAGGCTCGTGTTGAGGAGCTGGAGAGGAGGTGTCAGTCTCTGACGCAGCAGCTGGAGCAGGAGCGCAGCAGCGAGGAACAACACAAGACAGCGCTGAGAAGACTGGAGGAAAGCATCTCCCACGGAGACGCTCTCAGGGCCTGCCAGCAGGCTGAAGAGGTACACGCTGGTTTGTTAGTCTGAGAACGCATCACTTCCAGTATATTCATCGAGATGATTCTGCCCCCAAACCAAGTTTATTTAGAGTCACAGTAGGGCTGGGCGATATCTCGATATTTTAAAAATATTGCGATAATTTCATACGCGATATAAGATGGGACTATATCGTCTATATTGACATTTCTAAGTTGCGTTATAATTAGACTTGAAAATTAGTGTAGTTCTTCTTTTTCACCCGTCTGCGCCAACTTCACGTGGCCTCTCCTCCCTCACTGAATACAAACACCGCCCCTCACGTGCTGCTTCACACACGCTCACTAACGTTGTGACGGTGGCGCTGCTGAAGAGGATTATTATTTAATACATGCAAATAGTTTATTTTTTAGACATGTATTTTGGAAAGTTACAGCTGTTTGTTAATAAATGTGCCGGTGTGACAGGTGTGACAAAGCTTTGACTCGGTAATATATTTTTTATTATTTACACAAAGAAAAAAAATCGATATATATATCGTATATCGTCATTCATTTTAAAATATTGAGATATTAATTTTGGTCCATATCGCCCAGTCCTAAGTCACAGTAACAAAACTGCTTCAGAATGCTTCTGTTACACCCATTTATCTATACTGAAGTTCGATTGTGGCTCTGGACTTTAATTATGTCAATGCTCTGATTTAACACCTTCCTTAGACGAAACACTACCAGGAGCTGGAGAACAAGGCTGCAGCCCTGAGGAGAGAACTGGACATCCAGAGGGTTTCGGTTCGGCAGCACAAAGACAAGCTGCAGCAGCTGTATGAGCTGCTGGCGTCCAAAGAACAAGAGCACAGGTACACATGGAGAACTCTTCCCTCATATCAAGTTTATACAGTTTTTAAATCAGACAGAACTCTGTTCTGTTTACGAGCAGCATGGTTCTTTGTGTGCATTGTCTGACAAATATTTATCACATTTTTATTATTTTTTACTTATTTATCAACCCCATTCACTCAAAAAAAAAAAAAGTACGTTCTCCTTTTTATATTCTATAAAATGTCTGCCCTTGATCGTAGTGAGTCTTCATTGCCAGCTGAGACTGATTTATGTCTGAAAGGTTTGTATAAAATGTATTTAATTTTGTCTTATCTGTCTGCACCAAAGTGTGTCTGAGTGAGATTTAAAAAGCTGTTTTTATATTTCTGTGCTTCAATCAACATTCTGCAATACACGGACCAAAATGTAACAACTGCTTCAGGGTTATATTGAGAAATGTAATTATTTTTTTCAGTGTTTACCCATAAAGACTCAAAAAAATGAAATGTTTGCTTTTTATTTATTTGTTTCTCGTAACTGATGTACTTGGTTTCAAGGCAGCTTTGAAGGAATTATAAACTTAGTACACAAAGTAAGAAAACTCACGTTTATTGTCACAATGCTTCTTAGAAATAAATGCTATAATGTTATACAGTTGGTAAAACTGTTTATTTTCCCATTATTGGTGCCACATTTAGTAGAAAAATACATCTTCTCTTGCCAATGCCAAGCAGCTTATTCTACTGACACTTTTTTTGGTGCCATTGGATTTGATGGGCAAAAAGGAATCTTAGTTTCATATGGAAGAACCATACACAGCCACAACAGTCTAGAACCTCCTTGTCATGCTGCTCAGCAGGTTGGTCACACACTGCTGTGGGCTGGCATCCCACTGCCATCTCATTGGGTTCAGGTCAGGACTACAGGCTGTAGGTATTAGCTGATAAATCCCGGTCTGTTTGGGGCAGGTGTTGTCATCTTAGAGGATAGAGTTTGGTCCCAGACTCTGGAGATATGGATTGCCACTTGTTTCTCACTGGGTACTAAAATCGTAAAAGAAAGAGTCAAAAACAGAATAATCTTATGGATACTGGCAGAGATTTGCCAAGTTTTTTCTGCGTGCAATCCACAAATGTATTTTCCTAACAGACTATTTTAGGTGAAAATAAACAGGTTTTCCAATAAAATAAGACACTGTTACAACAAAGAAATAATTGACCAAACACAAATTTCCCAACTTTTTGTGCCAAGTTTAGTTCTTTACAGTAGCACAATTATTGCTAAATCAAAAGCAGTGCATATTTATTTAACTTTATTTTGGTTTTATGATATGGGATTAAGTTGTTCGATCAATGTTAAAGCTTGTAGACACTGATTTTTTCCATGAAGGTTAAAGTGGCATTGCGTTTGAGTCAACGTGCCATCGTCTTCTGATTGACTTCTTCCTGCAGAAGACAGCTGGAGCTGCGCTTGCAGCCCGGCGGGGCCGATTTTCGTGAGGCGGTGGTGAAGGAAGTCGCAGCAGCGGAAGAGAAACACAACCAGAAGACGACGGAGCTGCAGGAGAAACTGTCAGACGGCAGGAAGCAGTACGCCGCCCTGGAGGACGAGTTTCGCATGGCGCTAACCATCGAGGCCGCTCGCTTCACCGAGGTCTGCTGAAAGATGAGCTCCTGCCTGTCAGATAACCCCAAATCACTGGTTCGCTTTTACATCTCCAACAATAATGAATCAGATTAACATTATGACATATAAACTTTACTTTTTGATCACCATAACTTTGATCAGCTCATTTTTGTAGCAAGCTTTCATAACATTTTGTAACTGTTGCTTGAAAACACATCCCGTCATCCAGAGTCTTCAGGTCAATATTTATAAACGCAGCATTTTTAACATTTGTTTGAAGAAATTCAGCAATTTTTTTGGGCTTGTTTTCTAATATAATATTGAATTAATTATTTATTAATGGCGGCTATATATATATGGTAAAGAAAATGCCACAAAATAAATCAAAATAAATTGTTAAATGCTGCTCATCTCTGCTGCTCACTCAGCAGTCTGTCCTGGAGTTTAGCCTTGAATCTTAATTAGTGTGTCTGTTTTAAAATAATTTATCAGAATTTATTTAATATTTTCTGGCAGGAAAGATTTGTTAAGCAGAAATATCTCCCTTCATGTTATAAAGTATGAGCCGGTGTGTATTTTTGCTAAAAGAAGACGCTTTGAAGCTAATTTTTTCCACTTCAACCTGGTTTTTATATCCCAGTCACTTAGAAAGCTGCGGGGCATTTTACGCAGTTACAAACTATCCGAAGCTCAAAAGATAATTCAGCTGAATTCAGAGTGTGCAGATCCGGAAAGCTGCTGTCAAGCAGAAGACGAGCTTCTGGGGGAAGGGAGACAAGAAAGTAAAACTCGGTTTGCGCATTATGAGAGGAACTTATGTTTGGATTAACATAAACAACATTAAGACATAACAGGACGTAATGTGGGCGTGTCTAACAGTGTGAATGTTTATGAAGCATTCACACTATTGTGATCCATTTGTCTTCCGTACGTTTTCAAATAATTCCACAATTTTTGCACTAATTTTAACTATTTTCAGCCTAATTGAACAACAATGTGCTCCCTCCACTTTTGGTAATTTAAGCATCTTTCTGCTTTTTAGCTACTTTTGAGCTGGGTTTTTTTTTGGTGTGCGCTAATTTCAGCTTTTTTCAGATAATGTACACTTTGTACTAATTTCTGCTTCTTTCAGCCTAATATGGCAAACTTGTGCTCTCTCCAATTTCTTCTGCTAATTTAAGCTTATTCTACCTTTCAGCTAACTTTTAGCATTTGTTAGGTAATTTCAGCTGTTTTCAGATAAATTCAAGTTTTTTATGGTAATTACTGCAACTTTCAGTCTAATTAACTTCTTTATGCTTCTTTCAGCTTATTTATGCTAGTTTCAGCCTTTTCAGCTACTTTTTTTTTAGCTGTTTTTGTGCAAAATTTAGCTTTTTCAAATAATTCCACATTTTTGGAGCTCATTTCAGCCCCTTCCCCTTCCTTCTGGTAGTTTAACCATCTTTTTGCCTTTTCTGCTACTTTTCTGCTTTTTTTTAGCTAATTTCCTAATTTTTGGGCTCGTTTCTGCTTATTTAAACTTAATTCAGCAATTATGTGTTCTTTGCTTTCTTCTGGCTTGTTCTTCTGTTTCAGCTACATTTCAGAATGTTTTTTTTAAGCTAATTTCAGCTGTTTTTCAGCAAGTTCTTCAGCAATAAACATTCACACTGCGAAAATGCAATTTCTCTAATTATTATAGATTATTAACCTGCAACTGACAAGCCGACAACATAAGTATCATATTTTCACGTTTAGAATTAATGGATTTATATTTTCTTTTGTAGCCACTGTACCATTTTCCTGACACTCAGGCTAGATTCTGTCTTAACGCCAGCTGTTAAATAATTACGTTGTTCATTTAACAGGAAAGTGGTTGAACTAGAACTGACCTCCGTCTTCTAAAATGCGGCAGATTTGATTTGAGTCTTGTGGTAAAAGCCGAGACTCCGTGATGATCGTTGAGCTCCGGACAAGCAGCCTTTGATTGCCGCGGGAGGGAGGCTTTATGAAAAGAATGGATTTGAATCAGTTCTCACTTTCATCCAGCTTCTGCACAAAATGTATTCTGGGATTTATTGCCACCTCTTGCAATATTTTGTTTGTGACGTCATCCGAACTTTTCACCTTAAAAAAAAAAAAAGTTTAACTAAGAAATAAATGTGTGGTTTTATAAATCTATTAAAGCTTGTTATTTTAAACAAAGTTGAGATCAATAACTTTTGCCTAAGCTCTCCTTGTTGTTTAACTCTTGGGTTTTTTGTTCACACATCTTTTGCGTTTTTGTCTGCAGGTGAAGGAGGTTTGTGATCACATGACCGCAGAGCTGATGGAGCTCAAGGCGACCCTCGCTCAGTCCCAGCAGAGCGAGAGGAAATCAGCCTCCCTGGTGCAGGAGCTCACAGCCATGGTGAAAGAACAGAAGAGCCGCATCTCCGAGCTAATCAAATCCAAGAAAGACGCCGTCAGCGATCTCAAGGTGGGACTGGATTTGAAATATCACAAGCAGAGTAGCAACAGATGTTTCCCTTTTCCCAAAACCTGGTCACTGGGAGCGTGCAGGAGAGAGACACCACTTTCTGACATTATGAATACTGAATGGTCCAGCTGCCTCACCGTCTGCCAGCCGCCACGGAAAGAGAGAGGTTCATCATTAACTGTCTGTGTCTGTTCCTCTGCCAGAACCGAGTGCATTCCTTGGAAGGAGAGGTGGAACGGAGCCGGCGCCAGGGCCTGCAGCTCGAGGTGCTGAAGAAAGACAAGGCTCGGCTCGTGTCTCAGCTCTCAGCTCAGGAGTCTGTGATAGACGGCCTCAGAGCTGAGAGGAAGATCTGGGGCCAAGAGCTCGCTCAGCAAGGTGACAGATCCTGGAGGACATGTGTGATTCACTATGAGTCAGCTTTACAGCACAGGAGAGACTCTGAAAGACGCATTTAATGGTTTATGGGGATTCTGTCTATAATGCAGTGTCTTGTGAGTCCTTTGAAAAATTTAATGTGGAGCCAGTAGTTTATTTTTCTCTTTGTAGCATCTCTCACCATCTAGTGGTTTTAGTGGGAGACACAGTCAGAAAAGTTTGGGCTTGTTTACATTTTTCTCTAAAAATATTCAGGTAGAGGAATAGGTCTGGAAATGAACAGAAAAAAGCAGCTAAAGTTCTATTAAAAAACTGTGAAAACTTTCTAAAAGCCTGGAGGATTACTGGTCGAAACCATTTAAAGAGATTACATTAAAATTTTGGTTCCTTTGAGGCAAAACATAAAGAAATGAGGCAAAGCTAGAATAATTTGTTCAGAACTGTAGCCATCAGTAGCTATGTTTACATGCACAAAATTCTTTGATCGGATTGAAATGTATTCGGATTAAATAATCCTAATGTATCGTTTACATAGGCACAATTCGATCATGATGAGCGTTTACATGCAGTGGGCTTTTATTCAGAATAGAAGTACTGACATGTGCAGAGCAGTAAACTTTCCTTTAAATAAAACCACAGAAGAAGAAGTTCTACTTCCGTGATGAACATAAACAAATCTGAGCGCCCAAATTGGACCCGCGAAAGGTTTTAGTGACGGTGCACTCCCTGACTGAGCTACAGGTAATACAGATCATTTTGAGCTCTTTCAAAGTTTCTAGTAGAAATGTTGTGTCGCTCACCGTCCAGGTTTGCTTCCCCGACGTATTGGCATCTAGCCAGGAGGAAATACGTGAGGTTGACAGAGGTCGCACATACGCAGTCACGTCAGTTTTCCACAATCAGAAAAAAAATGATCAGATTAAGTGTTTACATGCACACCGTTTGGTTTATGAATCGGCATAAACCACCCCTCTCATTCGGATTACAAATTCATTCGAATCGAGCTGAATCAGTCCGAATGGGAGGTTTACATGACGCATTTTTATTCCAAATGACCATTTAATCCCATTACTTATGTCCATGTAAACATAGCGTCTTATTCTAATAGATATATATATATTTTCTGATTTTATACATTTCTCTTGCTCAGGTGCATCATTGGCTCAGGATCGTGGTCGTCTGGAGGCCAGGATTGAGGTTCTGACCGCTGAACTGGAGACTCAGAGAAAACAGAACGAGAGGGACCAGGACGCTCTTAAAATCAAAGCCAAAATCATGGACGACCAGACCGAGACCATTCGCAAACTTAAAGAGGTTCTAGGAAGCTTCTTCTTTATTTAATCTTTTTTATATAAACTCCATAGATTGAACCTAGCAGATTTAGAAATACTCATCAGAAGAGATGTTTAGTTTTTTTTTGTTGATCTACTTCAGCTTATTAAAGCCAAATAGCTCCACAGGTTCAGTCTCTTTGTTTCTGCAGCTTCCTGTCTTTATCTTTAGACACACTTAAGTTTGTTTCCGCCCTCCATCTCCCTGCCATTCAGTTCTTACAGGAGCGCGACGATCAGATCCGGAGGTCGAGGGAGGAGGCTGCGCAGGCCCAGAAGAAGCTCCAGCAGCAGCTGGAGGAGGAACTGGGCCAACAGGCTGAGCTGAAGGAGCAGCTGGAACATCTGAGTCTGCGTAAGGAGGAGCTGAAACAGCTGCTGGAAGACAAGGAAGCAGAGCTCGAGGAGATCAGGAGAGTTTACAGGCAAGAGTCCAACTACAAACTAAAATATGTTTTATTCTGGAAAAAACTACTAAATTATGAATTCAAACTCTTATTGACATTGCTGCTGAGTAAAATGTAAAATGTATTTTGAAACAGAACTACAGATAATTAACTCATATTCATCTGAAATAGTAAACACAGCATGTCACACATGCGTCAGATCATTTATTTTAGTTCATTAAATTGTTTGGAGACAAGGTACGAGTACATCTACCAGTGTTCTTTGCAAACTTGAATAGTATGGAGTTTGATGTTTTTATTTTTTAGGCTTGGATTGATATGGAAACAAGAAAACAGCCTTGAAAAACATCAGTCTTTCCACATTTTGTGAACTAATGCATTTTCTGAACAATATAAAGCAACTTTTCTGAAAGCTGATCAGATATGCAGGGTCTTTTTCAGATGTACAGAACTTCACATAACCACTACAATGTCTTGGTTTTTATTTATTTATTTATGTATTTACCACTAGGGTTGCAAACTTCCAGGAACAGTAAACACTGATCATTCTTACTTTGCGACAGCCTATTAAAAATTATTATTTTTTTTTAATTAATGTAACAGTTTTAGCAGTTTAGTTAACAAGCATCATACAGGCTCATTTATAAAGTGTCACAATACAATAAGATTGATTTACTTACAATTGCATGCTGGACTGAGGAGAATTTGTAAATGACTTAAAACACATTAGTGTTCAAGTAAAAAATCTCTTGTGGTAGAAGGCTGGTGCATTTTTTCTGACAAGATGAGCTGAAAAATCAAATTCTAGTAATTTCACACCAACATACAGATAATAAAAGCTGTGTAAATCCAATCCAATGTAAAAAGAGCTGTAAATTAAACACGATGAGATGTTATGAAGTCAAAACAACTCAGAATCTTGAAATGTCCCTTATACACGATTTGTTTCTGAAATCACGTTATTTCTCCTGTCGTTTTGTTTCTTGTCGTCTCTTCTGTTAGTGATTCCAAAAAGAAGTGGCAGGAGAAGGCAGAGCTCCTCGCTCGGCTCGAGAGCCAAGTGAAGCGGACAAAGGAAGGTTTTGATTCCAAGGAGCACCTGCTGCTGGAAGAAAGAAATAAAGCAACAGAGGCACACAAGTAATATCTTCACTCTGGGTCTGCAACTTATCAAGCAGTTTGTTATAATTAAGAATCTTCTGAGTCACATGTTTATCTCTTTTGAATATTGGAACAGCAGCTTCGCTTGTTTTAAATCATAAATCAAGATTAAATGTTTCCACCTCAGCTTTAAGATAATCATTTAGCCTAATCTGTAAAATATGTTTGTTTATTTGATCGTAGGCAGCCTAAGCAGTAAGTTTAGCGTTGCAGCCTATATGATGTGTTTAATTTGTTGTTCCTCCTGCAGAGCTGCAGTGGAAAAGCTGCGCTGTGTGGACGATGCTTTCCGTCGACAGCTGGAGTCTGTCCAGGCTGCGCATCAAGCAGAGATCCTTCAGCTGGCTAATGAAAAACAAAAACAGATAGAACGAGCTCATCAGAAGGTAAACTGTAGTCCGTGTTCGTCCTAATGTTTCCCCTCCAGGTTGTAGAGAATAACAGCGGCTGTTTGTCATTGTGTTTGAGAGATGTGACTTTGTTCAACTGTCTGCTGTGACAGATCACAGGCGAGGAGCTGTGAAAGAAATTACTGGTTATCGAGCTGAATGAGAGAGCGCACCACACAAATTTCTGTCAAAGCTTTTGTTGTTTTTGTCACTGTTGGGTTAATGTTTCATTGGAAATAAGACAGATTACCGTTACTTCAGTGAGAGGATGGCTTTATATCAGCATCTGTTTTTTTTTAACCCACCAGTTATTGAAAATAAGGGTTTAGCAGAAGATTTATGTCGTGATTTAGATTTTTATAGATAATGAAATCCTTGGCCATTTGATGACTGTGAAAGTTCTGCTGTAGACCTTTTATATTGTTCTTCGTGTTGTCTGCAGCTAAATGTATCTGTTCTTCTTCCTCAGGTGTTTGAAGTGGAGGAGGAAATGCGTCAACTTCTTAAGGAGACGGAGACGAACAAGAAAATCATGGAGGAGAAAATGAAACGTCTCACCAGCGTTCTAAAAGACTTTAACGCATAAAATATAAGGAGCTAAAATGCTGGGCAGTTGATATTTGTAAATACATTTTTCAAATAGTAATATATTTTTGTATAAATTAGATATTTTTTGTTACACTTTAATGTGATTTGTCGAATAAATGCCCCGTTGTACATAATTTATGCTAATATGAAATTAAGGGTTCCAGGTCCAGTCATAACAAAGTGTTTATGGTTTATTTAGTGATACAAGCATTAAGTTAGTTGCAGAGAAAAACATATTTGAGCTCAGTCTCACAAGAATTTAGTTATTTCTGTCAAATAAATCATAAAAACCAACTGACCGCATGGCAGCATAGTAAATATTTACTCTGTCAATGTTGCTAGTTTGCTACATGGTTCAAATAAATCTTTATACATTTTTTACATAAATGTGGCAATTTAAAAGCAAAGCTATAAAATTGAAGTACCCGGTAGTATTTTTTCAGGATTACCTGACCTTGCGTTACTATTTTTTTTATTAAAAAATAAAAATATATTTAAAGTCAATAATTAAAGTGAAATCATAGTTTTATTAATTTATTTTATTAGTGTGGGTGTGAGTATTGTATACTGATTTAGCCAAATCATGTCCATAACTTCGAAGGCGTGGTCAAACTAAATCAAGGCGGGGCTTCCTGAAGGAGGGAGGGGATGGGCGGGACGGGGGTTGCCGTGGCAACTGTCCCCTAACGTACGTTAATTTTAAAACGACCACAGGCAGCAGTCGTCTTGTTCAGGTAACTGAAGGCGTGTGCTAACAAGGAGAAATGTTTTTTTGTTGTTGAGGTAGCGGAGTTAAAAAAAAAAAAAGAGAGAAGCGAACACTTCTTTTGTAGAGAAGATGGAGATTGAGACGACGGAGACGACTGTTCGCTCGACCCCGAGTCGCCATGAAAAAAGTTTGGGGCTCCTCACCATGAAGTTCGTCAGTCTGCTACAAGAAGCAAATGATGGCGTCCTTGACTTGAAAGTGGTCAGTGAAGCTGAGAGGCTGGGTTCTGTGGGGTTGGTGGGGGTAATATAACCTTACCGGGTTCTTCTGAAATATTTTAATAAATGGTTGTCGGCTAGGTGCATAGTTTTTAATAACAGGTGGACCAAGAACAAGCCGCCATGACGCGGCCTAACATTTTATCGCTCTGCGAACTGAAAAGATAAAAGTCGAGTTTCTCATCATTTGTGTCACTTTAAAACGCCTAAGCTACATAATACTAAATTATGGCTATGAAGGAGTTAAATTAAATATTCCTGTGGTTGAAAGGTACTCATCACAAACTCAAACAAAAGTTTTAAGAAATGATCTTGAACTATGTAAAATGGGGTAGTTTGCCAGGTTGATGCATAATTCTGAAATGCAGGTATGCACTCCGTGTAAACAAAGAAATCTAGACGTTTAATTCATCAACTGGCCTCTGTGGGTAACATATGGCCCGAGGGCCAAAAGTGGCCCCTTGGATAATCTATCCGACCCCCAGTATCCTTAACTTCAAAGAAAACTAAGTTTATGAAAACCCGCATTTTATCATCGACACTTAAGGAACTCTAAATGAATCATCTTGGACAAATACACCGAAAACCTTTGGATTAAGAAAGACAAAAATGCTTTTGCTTAAGTCCTCATGTTTCCAGCACTATACTGGATTTTAAAGACTGCAAAAATCTCCCCCCCCTCCATATTTAAGCTAAATGCACTGTCAAAAGAACCAGTTTACAGAGAACGTCTTATTTTACTGAACAGTAAATGGTAAAAAGACTGTACTTATATATTTTCTTTCTATCTTATCAAGATACTCAAGGCACTTTACACTACAATCTGTGCCTCATTACCCATTCAGACAGCACTCTACTAGATCTCTACAAGCAATCAGAGCTTTATCACTTTCATACACCGATGGGACACACATCGGAGGCAATGAGGGGGTCAGTGTCTTGTCCATTGACACGGCTTGTGACTGCTGGTGGAATCGAACCTCCAACTCTTGCATTGGAGGATGACTGCTCTACCCACCCAGCCTTATGCCCCAACAGTATTGGGGAGACATTTTTTAATCAAGCGTGCTAACTATGCTACAACAAGAAAAAGGCTGAAAAACATTGTCCAAATTATCAGTCTTTAAAAACATATTTTTCCCTCCATTTCTCTATACAGCCTGCTTCAAATTCTTGATTTGGCACTCTGGAAAAAGATCTTACCCACTTTTGGTGAAGGTAAACAAATGTGGACATGCATAGGTTTGAGAATCCCAAACAAACTTGTCTCTGGTTGTGTTTTCCAAAAGAAAAAAAAACTGATGAAATACACTTTTTTGTTTTCAAGACTATTACTATTTAGATTTCTTTTAAAAAGAAACCTCTTAATTCTATACTGAAAAAAATCAGTGTAAATATATACAAATACATACATTATTTTCAACTTCTTCCTTTCCAAATGGCTCCTCCGTGGACATTGCTATTGTTGACTTGGTTTACTTACGAATTAAAAATTTTAGGACACACCATCTGCTCTGATATTGGTTTTTATCTTGTGAATTTTACTTTATGACTTTGAAAGTCTGTCTCATAGCTGTGCTCACAGTCTAGACTTAGTTTGTTGTCGTTTCTAGCCATGTTTATTCAAAAATCCTTCCCAGGCTTAATTTCTAAATGACGTTTAATTTTTGCACATTTTAAACAACCGTCTTACTAAGATTTTCACAGCCAAAAAGTTTCCTTCACTTTTTGTGCAGCTAAGTTCTTAATTTGCAGACATCATTTGAGTCTATATTATTATTTTTGTGACGGAGACCGTTTCATACAAATTCAAGTAACTGTATCTTGTCAACTCTAATGTCTGGATCAACAGGCTGCAGGCAGCTTGGAAGTAAAGCAGAAGAGGAGGATTTATGACATCACTAATGTGCTGGAAGGTGTGGGCCTGATTGAGAAGAAAAACAAGAACATCATCCAGTGGAGGTTAAGATTTATGTCAACTTTTATATTTAGTAAAGTGGTATAAAATAAACGTTTCAGTTGGCTTCGCTACAAATTTAGGCAACAATAATGTTTAGTCTGTTGATGAGGAAATGATCTTCATTGTAGAAATTACAGTTGATTTATAACATTAAACCTTTGTTTCTTTATTCTGTTGGATGTTCAGAGGTCGGAACAGAAGCAGCCAAACTCAGGAGGTGCTGGAACAGGCCAGAGATCTAAAAGCTCAAATCTCTGCGCTGGAGGCCCAGGAGAAAGAGCTGGATGAGCAGAGGGAATGGCTGGAGGAGAACATTAACCACCTCAACCTTGATCCAGGCACCAGCGCATATCCTTCAGCTTATGTTTCACTTTACATTATTTATTGTCCTTTCTATTTATTTTGCTTTAACACTTCATGGCAAGACAAGTTATTCTGCATTGTCTTGCAAGATTATCTTAAATTGTCCTGATGCATGCTCAATAATCCAGGTAGAAAAATCCAAAAAAGTTCAATCTGGTCCTCTGGACATTCAAAATAATAATAAAAAAAAAAAACAAAGCAAAAAAATATAGAAACGTTTCGTCTCTCATCCAAGAGACTTCCTCAGGATTATAATCGCTGTTGTCAGATTATGAAACAGCACCCAGGCTAATCCTGACTTGCACAATGATTACAGCTTTGTTTTTCCAGGACTTTATTTCCCCTACAGGTAATCTTGTTTCCTTGACTCCTTTTTACCTATAAATTTGTGACACATGAGGACATCTGCGAGGCTTTTGACGGAGACACCCTTCTAGCTGTTATGGCTCCATCTGGAACCCAGTTGGAGGTGCCGCTTCCTGAAATGGTAGTTTGATTCACTGAGACAATTATTACCTTTTTTGATTGGTGCTGCACTAATGATGACAAATTTGCAGCTCATGACTTAATAAATGAGACATTTAAAACGTCTAGTATTTTTATAAAGTCAATGAAAAATTCAAAGTGAATTATTTATATAAGTGGTTTGGACCAGTCACTGATGCTGTAATGAAGCTAGAAGTCCTTGTTATGGCAGATGTTCATCTTTCACATTGAACCAAAAGCTGCTGGTTTAGTTTTGTTTCTTCATGTATTATTTGAAGATATATTAGCTTTTTTATTTTTAAAACAAGTTGTGTGTTGTGTTTCTGTCTACAGTATATCCACCTTTTTAAGTTATACAAATTTTTATACAGGCCTTTGCATATAATTGCTGAAACTTGAAAGCACAGCAGGTGGAATAATAGTTTTGGTTAAGTACTGTAGATAGTATCTTACATTTTTTATATAGTTAGTTTTTTGCATTTTTATACAGCTGCAACATGGATCTTAAAATGTTAGAAATTTAGATCCTAAACAATGTGGTTAAAAGCAAAAGTTTCACAATCGTGATATTTCTGAATTTGTCACTACAGCAGCATTTTAAGTTACATGCTCTGTTGTGTATGACAAACCTATTAGGTCTGCTTTGATAACGTGAGCTTATTGATGTGCTTTTATCCCAAAGTGCAAGAGTGGTCAGAAGAAGTACCAGGTGAACCTGCGGAGCCACTCAGGTCCCATCCAAGTGTTGCTCATCAACAGAGATTCAGGCTCCACAGTACCCATGGTCTTTTCTGTACCGCCCATTGACGACATCTGTCCAACTCCACCCAGCACCCCCGCCAGCCTGCAGCGGTTCCCCCTCCTGAACTCTGAGCACTCTGTGTTCAACACTGCCTCTCTGTACTGCAGCCAGGACTCTGTCTGCTCAGACCACCAGATGGTGCTGCCGGATCATGATGACATTCTGACGCCGTCATGCTCACCTGATGACCTGGATATGGGTAAGAACAGCAGCTGACGGATTGAAATGATTAAATGCTTTTGATATTTGTCTATAAAATCTTTATGTTAAGTTTTTATTGTCAGTCTGAGGTAGTGACAAACGGGGTTTATCGAACAAATGGATACTAAGTTGAGACTTAAATTGAAATTATACAATTTATTTGAACCATATACAACTCCACATTTTCTGGGTGGAGTTTGCATGTTCTCTCCGTGCATGCGTGGGTTTTCTCCGGGTACTCCGGTTTCCTCCCACAGACCAAAAACATGCATGTTAGACTGATTGGTAACTCTAAATTGTCCCTAGGTGTGAGTGAGAGAGTGAATGGTTGTTTGTCTCATTTGTCTCTATGTGTCCCTGTGATGGACTTGCGACCCGTCCAGGGTGTACCCCGCCCCTCGCACAGTGATTGCTGGACATGGGCACCGGCGACCCCCGTGACCCAAAATGGAACAAGCGGGTAAAGATAATGGATGGATAGTTCTACATATTTGTTTTGTTCTCAAAATGTCTGCTGCTGTTAACCTTCCACTGTAGTTACCACAGCAACAAGAGTTGTTTATATGTTCAAGGGGCTGATTTTACCAATAAATGCTTAATTATTGACTGCAATAAGACGGCAGAGTTCAGATGAAGCAGGAGGAGATGTCACGATGCAGTGGCAGGAAAAAAACAGTGAAATGGAGGAAGTTTGAATCATTTGATCATGATGCAACTGCAGTTCTGAGGTGTGTCAGTAGGGAGTATAGGGCTTTGAGGTTCACTTTTTTATGCACAATTTGGAAAACTTTATCCATTTTTTTAAAACTGAACAGTACAAAGGAAGTTATTGTAAGCTAAAGGTGGCAACAACAAAAAAAGAGCTAAGCTTTGATTCCAAAGGAGATAAATAACACATCACTGATCTGTCAGGACAGGATACTTTTAGGATTGAGTGTAACCTCTACCTGTTTTTGCTTTCAATTTCAATTCAGTCTGACTCGGATATCAGATACATGCAATAAATAGAACAGACAAAAAAAAGTCCACTGCTGGCATCTTCAATGTTATTTTATGATAATGTATGTTGAAACTGAAGTGAAAGTGCTCTGCCCGTCATGATGGCACGACTCTAATTAAAATAAATGGACCAAACTTGAGGGGTCCGAGGCTTTACAGAGAAGCTGTTTTACAAAATTTAAACTATTGTCCACCTTAGAGGGTTGTAGTTACTCATTGCAAAGTATGAAATCAAACATTATAAAACAACCTGAACAAACGATGCAATTTGAGTTTAGTTGTTTTACAGATAAATTGAATGTTTATCTGAATGTATGCACTCGTTGTAAACAAAGCACTCAGATAAATTGTCCAAAACACCATCTGGAAGCTTGAGTCACGTCAATGAACGACATTAAGATGACCGTAGATTGTAGGTAAACAAATATGAAGGCAAGTTGATTGTTTAATCTGTTTTTAGTCACTTCAGCTGTTTTTGTAGTTAAACAAACACACAAGATAGATTGCAGTCATTTACAAATTTTTATTTTAAGGACGCATTGACCATCGATAAAGGAAATCTATTGTGTGGATTTAATTTCTTCATGAATACAATTTTAGTCCTGTCTTTATGACTGTGCAATGAAAAATATTTAATTTAATTTTTGGTAATTATTTATCTTGACTAACAATCTAGTGCAATTTGAGCGCTCTCCTGCTGCAGCTACTGTTAAGATCACTGCAGTTTAGTGTCTGATCATAAGTGTGACCCATGTTTGGCAAAATGAGGCACAGTGAGGAACTTTCAAGATCAAGTTGTGTTTTTCCCTCAAATTTTCAATCTAAAAGCTTCAAAATGCTTCATAGTTTGTTGAAATGTGCATCAACTGTAGGGATCTGGGTTCACTTTATGAACATATTTTTACACAAAATCTATATTTTCCTTCTTTAGCACTGTAGCCTGAGCTGAGTTCGACTTGTTTTGCCAATTTGAGTCACAAATGTTGTATAGTGTCTTTACTCAAGATTTGGTGTTGCAGGAATAAGGTTAACGTGAACACATTGTACTCCTCATGACTGTACACTTGAACTGAATCAGTGATTTCTGTTGTAGGAGCTGTTGACATTATTGACGAGCTGATGTCGGCTAACGGTAAGCAACAAAACGCCTGCATTACTACACCGTCACTTGTTTCTGAACAAAGTTTTCTGCCTGAAAAATTCAAACATACTGTTTTTGTCTGCAGACATCTGTGTTCTGAGGACACATGTAGTTTAGTTAAACACACAAGTGTCAAATAACACAGTTATATCATGTTAGTGAACTGAACTCAGTCAGAAAGTTGAAATAAAAGCTTGGAATGGACACTGAGCGAGGAACCTCGGCAGCCTCCACCAGATTAAACTGATGAATTTGTTCTCATCCAATCAGTTTAGCTTTTATGCATTCGTTTATTTTTTAGGTGTATTCTTGTGGAAATTAACTTTACTAAAGTTGATATATACTCACCAAGGAATGGGGAGTGATGGACGTCTTCATTCCCATCATTTAGGACATGAGCTGTTTCAGCTATAACGAAGAGTTCACCCCCTCAAACTGATTCTTGTCACAAAACGATTCCCAGGAGAATTTCTGCAAATAGTTTTGGTTGTCAAAGTATAGACTGTATTGTTACACCTACACAGAGCACACATGTACTTTGGAGTTGTTCCTTTATTCAGCCATGTGGTGTATATGTGCCATAAAAATAAACATTTGTTTTCACAAAGATGCTGATATAACAGATAAGTCCTTGTATTGATTCCTCTGAAACTAATCACTTTTTGTTTTATCTTCCCTCTTGATCTGTGCTCGTCTTTGTGTGCACGTCTCAAACTGAGGACATGTTAGTCAGACTAAGCCAACGCTTTAGTTGGGGCTCGTTCAGATGTTGCTGTTCGCACTTTAAAGCTGGGGACTCGGTGCTGGAGATGTACTCCCCCAGCTGTAAGTACGACAGAGTTGGCAGGACTGTGTTGAAATAGCCGAGTCTCTTTAGGGACCAGGCTATTATCAGTACCACATGGATCTGAAGTAGATCTTAACTCTCATTACTCACATTTTCTCTGCTGCGTTATCTGTTTACCTCATGGAGCTGACTGGAAAATCTAAACAATAAGTTCAGAGTGAGCAGTGTGGAGGGGTGGGCTGAGAACATGCCACATCATCTGGAACATCTTTAGTCCCACAGCTAACAAAGCTGAAAACGTACTGTGCCGTGTATTCTGTGCGCGTTACTGAAAGCTGTGATTTCCACCACCCTGTATTTTCTCCACATGCAGGTATGGACTACAACTTCAATCTGGAAGACAATGAAGGCGTGTGTGACCTGTTTGACGTGCAGATCCTCAATTACTGATCACTGACTGCTTACAATAAGCTGAGAAGCACTTTTTTTGCCTCTCTTCAAAGATGCTACAAAGATATATTTTTGACCATTTAGTGGCACAGGTTAGACTTTACGTCCCGTTGCCGCCATGAAAAAAACACCAACGTGCCTTCAGAGTGCACAGCTGTGCACAGCAAACCTACACTGTTTGTTTGCTGCTTTGGCCCGTTGCCAACAATACAGCTGTTATTAGGTGTTAAATTCCGCGGCGTTGGGACGCTCATGGTTTCCTTGGTTGAAAACAACATTCCAGGCAGATAGGAGGAAGTAAACTGAGGCTAATTCTAATTCAACATCGTTCGGCTGTTTGACTCTGACTGCTTATTTTTACAGTAACTTGTAATCATCCAGTATTGCTTTTTTCATTCATCAAAGGATTGGAAAGGTTTATGTGAACTTTCTTTACACAAACATATCATTTGTTCTGATTTATCACCGTTTAGTGTTTAATAAGTCAAGGTTGTTTTTTTTTGACACCCTGTTTTCTTGTTCTTCCGCAAATTCCAAAATTTTTTCTAAATTATTGACACTGCCAATTTAGGCTGTTTATAGATCTATTTTTCCTGAACACTACAGTTGTAAATGTAAACACTTACATTTTATACTTATTATTATTTTTTTTTAATGTTATCTCATTTGTAATTTAAATATTGAATTGTGCCAAATTTCTAATCAGAGTAATCTTCTGATCCTTGAAAGTCGTTTTGTTTATTTGTGTTTCTTTCTCTTATGAGCCATGTTTTTGTTGCACATTATAAATGCTTTTTTTCTTTAAATTGATTTCATATTTAGAATTTTCAGATGAACAGAATCGGCAACATTTATATATATATATTTAAAAAAACTGATAAAAAAATAAAGAACTTGTTTGTTTGGGAGTTAATCAGCTTTACAGATGGAGTGTTAATCATTACACAACATGATCAACTGTGGATTGGAACTTTTAGTCTTTTTTTTTGTTTTTTTTGGTGGAGTGTTTTGTTGTCGCTGCAACAGATGCTAAACCTCAGTCGGATGGTTTCCATATGAGCACACAAACAAAGCAGGACCTGCAGGAAAATTTGATCTGATCCAGCTGGGGTACATGGGGGAGAAATAAAAACAAAGAAAAGAACCTGGTAATATAAACTTTTAAAAGGTTAATAACACATAAGTATGTCCATTTTGGTTCGAGAGATTAGCATTCTAACAAACCCTAACCAAAACGTTTTTTTTTTCATTCATGCTTTATTTATACAGGTTAATCCCATTGAGGCTCAGGTACTCATTTACAAGGGAGACCTGATTTTAACAGAGTGACAACAGTGGACCGCAAAGACAACAATCATAAAGGATGCATACATTTTTTTTTTACAAGTGAAAATAAAATGGTAATTAAAATGATAATTAAAAGGAAAAGTAGCAAAAAAAAGAGCTAGGTTGTAAGGTGGTGTAGAATACTAAAAAACAGGAACATGTCTGCATTGGTTTGTCCCAGGAAAACTTGTTTAAAGCCACAAAGAGATGTCAAGGTCGAGAAGTTAATGATGTGCAGTTGACCAGTGACTACAGGGTGCAGTGGTGGGTACGATAATCACAGCCAGTTATGGATCTTAGTGCACCATGGTAGGCAGCATCCAACATCTGCAGGGCGCTTGTAGGAGCGTTCATGTAAATAATGTCACCGTAATCAATGGAGGGAAGGAAAGTTGCAGTTACAAGGCGTTTCCTAGCGTTCAGAGTTGATCAGGATCTATTTCTGAAAAAGAAGCCCAATTTAACTTTCAGTTTCTTTACTAGGTTTTCCACGTGGTGCTTAAAAGAGAAATGTAAATCGACCAAGATACCCAAATATTTGAAGGAATCGACAAACTCAATCGGGACACCATTTGAGGATAAAATCAGAGGAAGAACTGCTGGGACCGACTTCCTGTTAGGAAAAAAGCATCCTTTTGGTTTTGTCGGCGTTTAGGACAAGTTTGAGATGGAACAAATCTGACTGGATGATGTTGAAAGCAGATTGCAAAAGCTGGAAAACCTTAGCAACTGTTTTAGCTCGACAGTAAACAACTGTGTCATCAGCATAGAAAAATAAGGATGCATCAGGGATTTCTGACCTGCATTACTTATGTAGATTGTAAAGAGCGTGGGTCCTAAGACTGAGCCTTGTGGTACGCCATTGTTGACTGTTAAATAACTGGAGGAAATAGCATTATGTTGAACACATTGCCTCCGATCTGAAAGATAGAGAACCAACCAATGGTATGATCTGAGAAACCACTTTCTGAGAGCTTATGACACGAGATGTTATGATCCACAGTGTCAAAAGCTTTAGACAGGTCTAAGAAAAGTGAAGCACAATAATCCTTCACATCCAGTGCTTCAACAGTGTCATTAAAAACCTTCAGTGAAGCAGTGGTTGTGCTGTTGTTTCCTGAAACCAGATTGATGGAGAGGTATTTTAAAAATGGGTAAATATTTTAAATATGATTAATTCTGCAATTGCACTAAATATTTTATAATGTTCATTTCTCTTTCACTGTTCAGCTAAACAGTGATTCTCTCAAACACCAACAAGTCCAGACAGTTTTTCAGGAATTGTCACGCTTTGCCCTTGTTAAACACTGGAGGATGATTTGATTATGCTTTAAGTGAAACTGTAAAAGGATGCCACGCCTTTGTGTTTTCAGCTGGTCCTGCAGATGTACACTTCAAGGAGATCTGCTGTATTTATTCACGCTGATTATAATTTAAATGAACATTTAATTAAGATTTTCTAAAATCTGTTTCTCAGACGACTTGTTTGTGTCAAAAGGAGTGTAAAGCTCAAGACTATCTGGCATGTACTCTGTGTGGGCGAGTGGGAGGTAAACGTTTCCAGTAAAATATCTAACTCACACCTTGTAAATGGGAGCTCAGGAATTTGTTTCCATTAGTACACTTTAAATTTATAACCGTTTCAGAAAGGAAATGGTGCAAAAAACAAAACAGAAAGCAAAATAATTTTAAACTCAAGTTCAAGAGAGAGCAGCTTTTTGAGCCGACACTGGTCTCATAATTATAAACTGGTTAGTTCAAAACGTCACTGACATTAGATTACATTTTTCATTAACTCCATCATATTCTCAGAAATTTTATTTATTCTCAGCTTTGTTTTATGAGCAATTTTTTTTTTTATAACTGACATTTTGTCTCTCGGGTTTTGAGCTTTTGCTCAGTTTGGGATTTGTTGTATTGTGCAACTCAGAAGGGTTCAGATGTGCTTCAGGTGTCGTCGCACCACTTTGATTTATAAACCTTAACATGCCAGCACTCAACTTATTCAAGTTTTATTTACTTAACATGCTATTTATGATCGTGTCTGAAGATACTTTATGTAATAACATTAAAATACAAATGATTCTTTTAAAGTAAAGAAACACACTTTGTTCCTTATTTTTAAGAGCCAGCACAAATCTATGTTTGCTGACTGAAAACATGGAAAATGTGCCTTTTTTTGCAGAATAAGATGTGAAACGCAGAAATATACTTTGGTTCTTAAGTTACTACTAATGTTTGTTATATAAACTGCTTTTGTCTCTTAAATTGGCCAAATTTTATTCAAATTGACAACAGATTTCAAGAAAACAAACCTACATAAATTATGTTTACTGAATAACTAGTGTAAATACGGAGCTGTAAGACTAGAAATCTTCAAAGCAAGCAGAAATTGAGTTGTTAACTATATGAAGCAGAACACTAGAAGATAAAATAAGTAAATGCTTGCTAAAAGGCTAGTTTAAAAACCAAACGTAACAAAGGCCTACCTAAAGGTAAGCTGCAAAAGACTACTTTCACTTTAGCAAAACACTAGCTAAAAACTAAATCTCACAATGCTAGGTAAAAGTAGCAAAAGGCTAGCTAACACTAGCTAAGAGCTCAAAGCAGCCAAACTGACACCGATTCTTGTTGTTCACTCTTTAAATGTTTGTCTGGTAAATATTCGGTTGTTGTTGTTCTTGGTGACATCACACTTTAAAAACAACATCTCACAACTAAGTATTGATCAAGAGACTCTCATCTCTGCGCCACCCTGTCCAATCAGTGCTCCTTATTTTAGTTTCTGAAAGTTGGCACCCTTACCTTTTAACTTTGGACCGAAATATTAGAAGAAATACTAAATATTAAGAGAGCTGCCTAAATGAAAGGCATGTTCAGGCATAGTTCCTTTGAATTTTTTATTTATTAAAAAAATAATATACAAAACATTGGTTCTGCAGAAAATTTTTTTTTTACAAAACGGCTCAAAAATAATTGTTACAAATATAAAAATTGTCCTTTGAAAGCAGAGACAGAAACTGTTGATCTCAGACGTATTTTAAACATTCGCTTTAAGGCAGGTTTTTTTTTTTTTTACGTCACTTATAGAAAGAAAGGTGTTTATAAAAGAAAGGGATTGTGGGAAAACTGGAAGGTTGTGATTTTTACACTCAAAATGTGTCATTTCACTGTAAACTCATTTTTGCGGACGGAGCACTGAAACTCATATTGAGAATGTGTTTGTTTCTTGTGACGCACTGCGGGAGTGAAACGACATCTCAGTCCCCTCCTCCATAGCAGGAGCTTCTCGTCTCCTGCTCTTTTTCCGTCTCCTCTCTCCAAACCTCTTGGCCACTTTCATCATGTGCTGCTTGAAGGAGGAGCCCATGAAGGCGTAGAGGATTGGGTTGAGGCAGCAGTGGGTGAGCGCCAGGCTTTCCGTCACCTGAGCTGCCTGATCCAGTGCTTTGCTCGTCCTGCAGTGAGTCACCAAAACGTACACTGCATCCATTGCACGGTACACTTTCAGCACGTTATATGGCAGCTGGGTGACGACAAACACCCCTACCACTATTAGAAGAACTCGCAGAGCTCTCCACTTCTTGCCTCTGCTCTCGACAGGGAGGCTTCTTAGTGCTCGGCCGACACTACAGTAACAAATCACCATGACCAGCAGAGGAAGCAGGAACCCCAGCAGCACCTCCACCACCTCCAGCACAGCTTTACCACCTCGAGCCATGGACGTTGGATAGACGGCCAGGCAGACGCTCCTATCAGACGTCAACGTCACTTCTGAGACGATCAAATCGGGGAGTCCAAGAAGGAAGGCTGTCACCCAAACAACTGAGCACCACTTCCAGCAGTGCCTCCTGATGAAAAGCCTCTGCAGGCACCCTCTTTGGTCTTTCCCCTGCTCTCTGGCTAACGCTAAGTAGCGATCCAAGCTGATGCAGGCCAGCAGCAACATGCAACAGCAGAAGTTCACCGTATAGCAAGCCGACACGATCTTGCACACGGCGTCCCCCAGCTCCCAGCCTCTGGCAGCATCAGCAGCCCAGAACGGCAGAGTGAGGAGAAGCAGCAAGTCGGCCACAGCCAGGTGGCTCAGGAACGCATCAGCCATTGTCTTCAGACGTTTGTGGTAGACGTAGACAGCCAGGACCAGAAAGTTCCCCGCCAGTCCTGTGACCAGACACAGGCTGTACATGATGGGCAGGAAGAAGGCCGCGAAAGATCGGACGTCGCCCTTCTCACACAAGGCGGGGTAGTCATCGTAACTGTAGTTGAATGTTTCGTTTTCATGGTAGTAGTAGTAGTCGGCGTCCTCGGTGACAGCCATGCTCATCAGATAAAGCTGGGAAGAAGCGTAAACCACAATCTTTAACTGTAACACAACCGTCAGAAAAGTGCAGAGAAAAAGAACATCAATCAAACGTTAACTACTAAACAGATGTATTCTCTGATTTGTTTCTTAAAGTTTCACTAGTATGAAAGGATTAAACATGCTTCACCCGATTTTTGTCCTTGTTAGGGAATTTTATAGATGTTTTTTACTATGGCTGAGAATATTAACAGCCCATGAACCATATGTTTGGGGTTAGTAGAGAGTTGCATGAGGAGCAGCTGTCGTTTCAGGGACACCGACGAGTCTGTGCGCTAAGCTGCAATGAGAAGTGTATAAAAACAAGCTACACACATGGCTCGTGATAGATTCTTGTGACTGGTCTTTGCTTGTACTTCCTGTGTATCCTGTACTGAAATCTGACCTTGCAAGTAAAATATCAGTTAAAAATCTTCTCCTGCTGTTGAATGTGGCTCCTTTTGAGTAAGTAAGAAAAGCGAGAATATTTTTCTCCAGCAGTCCATATTTTAGGACAAACAACCTCTTGTCTAAAAAGATCAAGACCCCGAATGTGGACAAAAAAAACAAAACTAGCACATGTTGCCAGTTTAATCAAGCTGATTAAAGGAAAGCGTCGTCACGCGTTTTTGCAGAAACTTTGCTGAAAGCTTTCCAGCGATCAGATTCTTTAGATTCCACATTTTGTGACCTGAACACCTAAACCAGTCCTGGTTTGAGCCAGAATACATTTGGTGGATTTATATCTTACAACACGAGACTAAACAGTCCTGACTGAAACCTTTCAAGCTCAATACAAAGTTCATCCACCTCGTTATTTTGACCGGTACAGAATATAAATATTTTATCTATACTTTTATCAAAGCAAACAAAGATTTTAGTGGATAGTGATAAGTCTTTCAACAAATAAACTTGTTTCAGAATGTTTTACAACTATAAATATGATTAAGGAGATGTATATGTTTTTATATTTAGTGTTTACTACAGTGCATGAAGCACAGATGAAAGAGTACTATTGGGGAATTTTAATTTTATTTTGTTTAAGTGTTTCCATAATTGAAAAGCCAAGAATTTTGAATTTCCTTGTTCTTTCTCAGGTTTCTGGGAAAGTCAGTCAAATTTCTGTTTACAGAATTGTAAAAAGCTTCAAACTTACCATTCTTTCAACTTTAAGAGCGCTATATGGTTTTAAATTCCAGTAACCCACTTTTATTAGCCCCTGATTTATTTTTATTTTTATTATTTTTGTTGTTACCTTTTGTCCAACAGTTTTCCAGATATAAAGTCGCAGGTTGAACATCAAAATGATCTCTTACATGTTTGTAATACCAGTCCCAAATCTTTACAAAAAATTTAGCCAAAAACTCATAATGAGAGATTTAAGTGATGCTGTTTGAAGATACTAAGTTGCGTTAGGTTTCAGAAAAAAGAAAAATGAGCCGCGGTGTTCACTTCCCTCAAGTAGAGATTTGAAAAAAAACTTGTGCGTTAACTATCAGGGTCCTGATCTGAACTTTTTCTCTGTTCTTTTCGAGACAAATTATGTGAAGCTCCTCTGACTCTGCACATAAACAAAGTCCAGAGAAGGAAACGCAGAGACTCAAACATTCCTAAAATCTTCCTGTAAATGCCTCCGCTCTCCTCCCAACGATACGTCAAACTTTTACTCCGCAATAACAGGAAACCTATCTCGCACTATATTTATTTATGTATGCATGTACAAAAAATACTGTAATTATGTAAGAAGGGTCAAATAAAATAAATTGAATACCAGTATGTTATGAGGAAAAACAACTCGATAATCGTGGAAACGCAGAAAGCTCACGGATCATCTCCAGGAATCATTTTCAGTTTAGTTTTGCAACCCAATCAGGAGTGAACCACCAGAAGTTCTTTCTGAAGCCAAATAAAGTTTATTAATGTGCACATCAGAACTTGATCCATGGAGCGATGGAGGACAAGTCCAATGGGTTTCCATCATATGGACGATAATGTGACATTTACCTGAAGAAATGAGGGTGAGATGCACAAGATGTTTGAGGCAAACATTCTGCTGCCTCTAGTTTTACTTCCCAAGGCCTGTTTGAGCAGGATAATAATCCTGCTTCACTGCACGATTATTCAGAACTGGTTTGACAAACATCAGGTTGTTGCTTGATAATCTCAGAGTTGTTGTCTTCTTGTAACACATCATTTAGTATTTCTCTTTTTCACAACTCAGAGGCTGAGATTTCTCATCTCTTCACCGATTGATCCTTTGGGGAATACAGTAGTCCCTCGCTACTTTGCGGTCTGACTTTTGCGGACTCGCTTTATCGCGGTTTGTGAACGTACGGTCCATAATATTATAAAACAAACAAAATTGTACAGGACACATGATTGTCAACTTTAATATTACTCATGTGATTGGGACAGTACTGGGTGGTAAAAAGTTAATGAAAAAATAAAACACTTTGGACATGCGCCGCCATTTTGTATTTTTCTTTCAGTAAACCTCCACTGTATTCCCACTCATAATGACCACATTTCCCATAAGACAACAGGGCCCCGCCCAGAAGCCTCGTTTCCTTCTGCTGAACTAAGCCAAGATGGCTGCACTCAGCTGAGCGGCAGCTTCACAGACTCCCGGTGAACTCGATCTTTTAATGTTCCTGTGGCTTTTTTTTTTTTGTAACTTTTTTTTTTTTTTTTTTTGCACCTACACTGCACATGTGACCGTATGACCGTGACACACTTGTGGAGTCTTCTGTGTTGCTGCCTTGCCATCGTGGTTCATTCCTTCCAGCCTCGGGCTCAGGCCTGTCTTCATGATCCTCCCATCTGCCTGCACGGACCGAACTCTATAGTTTCGGCTGCGAAACTTTGGATTATTGAGCATGCATCAGGAAACTTTGGATGTTCTCCGTCTGCCGGACCTGGTTCTGGAGAGCAGTCTGGGAGGCAGCTGCTACTATCAAGCTACTGACGGGACCTGCTAACAAGACCTGCTAATCCTGCTAACAAGACCACGCCACTAACCGAACCACACCGCTAGCAGTACCATGGTGCTAACTGGACCATGTTGCTAAGATAACCTCACTGTCATCAGAACCACTCTGCCAATTGGACCATGCTGCTGTAGATTTATTTCTTTTTCACTTTTGGCACCTTGTTTCTGTATTCTTGTTGCATGCTTTGAATAATCCCAGTTAGTTTTGGGGTCGGCTGCGAGCATGACTCCGCTCGCATTAAGCGTGTGAATTATAGCCGAACAGAACCTATGAGAAGTTGTGCTGCTGTTGTTCGGCGTTTTGCACTATTAGTGTTAAACATATATCTTAGATCTTTTCACGTACCATTGGGCGTTCGTTTAGCGTAAATCTTAGTTTATATCTTAGATCCTTATTTACCGTTTCTTTTTACACTTTATATTTTTGCTATTGTTGGATGTAACTGGGACCCTGTGAACACAATTTTGTTCCACCTCATGTACCACATGTGATGCGAATGACAATAAAGAACCTTGAATCTTTGAAACTAGAGGGAAAGTTTTGATCTGATCTGAGTGGATGCAGAGAAGTCACACGGAACCCACCGAACCGGTGCAGAACCAGATTTCTAGACCCATTGGTGAGGAGCTGGTAGCCTGCCCATGTTGACCTCCAAGCGGACACGTGCGGCTGAAGGTCTGGTGCTCCATCTGAAGCTCCAGCACATTTTTCAAGTCTTTCAACCGGCCGACGAGGACCTCCGAGCGGGGACACGCTGGTAAGTAAAATTTAGTAGCTACATATAAGTATGTTGTTAAAATGAGTAGGTTTAAGAGTTTAGAACATTGATTATGGGCTTCATTGCTGCAGGGTACATCTGCAGAAATGGAACCGAATCGGACCGGAAACTAACCAAGCCGCTGCTGTTCTGCAGAGTCTGGTAAGGAAAATTTAGTAGCTACATATAAGTATGTTGTTAAAATGAGTAGGTTTAAGAGTTTAGATTAGAACATTGATTGTGGGCTTCATTGCTGCAGGGTACATCTGCAGAAATGGAACCGAATCGGAAACTAACCAAGCCGCTGCTGTTCTGCAGTCTGGTAAGTAAAATTTAGTAGCTACATATAAGTATGTTGTTAAAATGACGTAGGTTTAAAAGTTTAGAACATTGCAAGAATGTGGGACGGGTTTATAAAGCCTTAAAATATATACTAAAATAAAAATAATGTCGCTACTTTGCGGAATTTCAGTTACTGCGGGGGTGGGGCTTGAGTTATGATGAGAAATTATCAGAAAATAAAATGAAAAATAAGACACATTCTCTTATTACAGCTGTGGTTTTACATGTTAGTCTGAAATATTGCCTCATTACAGCATTGTTGTAGCACTAAAACTTCCAGAAAAGGGTGAAAAGTATAAACTCAATCTTGAATTGAAAAGTGACATTACAAACATGGTTTAATGAAATTCCTACTCTGGATCACCTCAGAATGCATGACCTCTGGTCCACTTTGATATAAATACATAAATGAATTGTTGAGGAAAAAGTTACAGAAACAAACATCAAATTTATGATAATGTTTTGTGCTACATTTTCCTCTTCAAAAATGATTCTGTTTAAATGTTTAATCTGTTTAAAATACAATCGTGTTCATCAGTGCAACGATCTGCAGAAATAAAAGAACAAAATGAAGCAATGATCATTTCAGTAAACAGAGCTGCAACAATAAAATTGTTGTCACGTGTTTACATTCAGTGGAAACCTTCGATTAACAGATGAGTTCTGAGCATTTTAAAGCACAAATAAGAGTTAGATACTCACGGTGTTTCAGTCCTCGTGTGAACGCCTGCTCTTATCTCCACTGAGTCCAGAGACCAGAGGGCATCAAGAGGATTCTTTGATTTTTTCACCCAGCTCAGCATGAAGGGGCGGAGATAAGGCAACAAAAAAAAAGCTGCTTGGTGAGAAATGAAGCATCTAAACATGTCCAGGAAGAGCCCTCTGAAACCTGAGCCTGCAAAAACCCTGAAGCTAAACGCTTCATCAATAAAAACACACGCTTAGAAGTTTTTCAAAATGTTATAAGGACTTATCTGTAAACTTTTCACTTACCTCTGCTAAATAAAAAAAACAAACAAAAAAAAACATGTCAGACTTTTTAAAGTATTACAGAACAGAAATACTTTTACACAGTTCCTGATCTAATAATCAAAGGTTAAAGGGACAGTTCAGATGAGTGATGAGCGGGATTCTGTAGAAAGGTGCGGCACGGTGGTTCAGTTGGTAGAGCTGCCGCCTCTCAGTGAGAAGGTTGACGGATCAAATCCCAGCCCAGGACTTTTCTGAGTGGAGTTTGCATGTTCTCTTCATGCATGCATGGGTTTTCTCCAGGTATTCTGGTTTCCTCCCAGACTAAAAACATGCACGTTAGGCTGATTGGGAACTAAATTGTCTCTAGGTGTGAGTGAGAGAGTGAATGGTTATTTGTGTCCCTGTGATGGACTGGAGACCTGTCTAGGATGTCCCCGCCTTTCGCACAGGATGGATATATATATATATATATATATATATATATATATAATTTTATTTTATTTTTCTTCAGATTTATTGTTATTCATAATATTTTCACAGAACTCCACATTACAATTATGAACTATCACTTTAACTCATAAAACAGAAATTTCGTGTTGCTCTGACCAGGTACTCTTTTAAACATGAATGAAAAAACAAAGAAACTGACAGTTTATTTGATGTCCATTATTTGTATTTAATCTTATAGTCATTCATTCTTTTAGGTCTAATTCAAAATAACGTTACAGTTGATGGAAACTGAGTTCTGGGGGGAGGGGGGAAGGTCCGATTATAAAAGTGCCGCTCCAATAAAGGCATGCATTCAAAATATGTTCGACCAGATCTTTTATATTTTAGCTGGAAGCACAAAAAAAACTGATTTGATTTGTTTGTTTAAAACATTTTATAACAGAAAAGAAGTGGAAAAAAAGTCAGATGTAGACTAAAGTGGTACGTTCCTCTCACAGATTTTTCAGTTTAGATCTGCTGCCCACCTCTGGACCCATAAAGTCAAATTTAAATATAGTTTTTGTATTTTTTTATGTTGCAAACTGAGGAGGAGCAGGACTCTGCTGTCATTAAGTTACAGTTTGAAACAGATCAGCCGTTTCCAGCTGTGTCTTATTGCTACGGCAACAACAAACACTTGAGTGACTCATGCCGGGTCAGTCCAAAACATGTCTGGCCTGTTTATTCAGAAATATTTTTTGTTTTGGTTAAAAACTGAGATATATTGTACTTGCTCCCCCACAGAAATAAAACGACACGGCAAGATTAGTTTTCAGATTTTATTTCATTTCATGTTTTAATCTATCCTGATTTTCCAGAAAAGCTGTGTCTCCTTGGAAGTTTCTGTTTTGCCTTCCCTTTGCGCTCCGTCTGTCCTCGATACAAAGTAAACTCTGATGGTCTCCACGTGCAACAGAAATATTAAGAGAAATCACATCCTTACATGAGAGAAACATCACAACTCTGCTGGACAACCAGCTACAGAGGCGTTGAAGCCCAAAATATTGTGCTTTTTATTTTAAAACCTTCAATTTAAAAAATTTAAATAATAATTAAAAAATACACAAACATCAAACTTGGACATTGAAGCTGTTTTTCAGCTGTTGACAGTCTTTTACAACGATCACATCTTTAACAAACTTTTACAACAAACAGTAAAATAAAATAAGATCTGTCCTCACTGAGCGGGTGTGTCCATGCTGCTTCAGCCTCAGTCAACACTTTAATTTTCCAGCAATGTACGTTATTTTCCTGGGCTGCCCAGCTACTTTCTCCACCTGTTAAACAAAAGCATATATTTAAAGATTATAATTGGATTTTACCTTAAGAGATGAAACAAAGCGGGGTCTGGTTACCGGAGGGTTCTGTGTGGCTGTGATGAGCAGGAACACCTGCAGACACAAAACAAGCAGCAGCAAGCGCTTGCTCATGAAGATCTGAGTTTGATTCATCTGAAACAAATATTCCCCTCACCAGAAACTGCTTCAATCTGAGTTAGATTTAATCCAGGAAATTAGGAGGGTGTGCTCATACACAGAAAGCTTGTCTTCAAATGCACGCACACACACACGCACACACACGGAGCGGTTTATTTGATTTAATCCCATATTTACTTTGCGTAAATTTGTTATCTCCTTTCCTCTGCAGTCCCTCCTCGGGTATTTCCTGTTCACAAACTTGGAAAACCAAACTGCTGCTTCACAGAAGGATGTCTAGTTGAAGAAAATGTTTTCTTTTTTTTAATAATGTACAAACTCTTTACTCAGCAAACATCTTTTAAATAAATTAGCAGAAACGGCTTCACGTGTATATCTTGATTTATAAACATCAGTGTCTATTAAAACAAGTTCTAGATATGATTTTATACATCAAATGTGCAGATGTACACATTTGTGTAATCCATTGTGTACACAATTTATTTACAGATCAGTTGTAGAAACACTGACAAAAATTCAAAGTTGATTCAAAATCTTGAACGTGTTTTTTAAATACCGTTTACTTTTATTTATTATCAGTTTCAGTATTTGGCACCAGTTGTTGGTAATCCTTTGGCATATATTGTTTTTGCATCTTTGAAGCTGCTTTCCTTGCAAGAACTTCCTAAAAGTCTTGATATTAGATCATCTGACACCAATTTTTTTTCTTCTTCCAATCATCAACATTTTAAGTTTATTTTCACCAATTCTGTGACCAGATCAGATTCAAAACATGATTTTTTTTTCTTTGTAACTTTAATATCAATGTCTTTGACATTGGCCTAAACCACATCAAGTTTAAAAAGAACTACTTTTTCTTCTATTTCTTATATCATTGATGCTGTTTTTGTTAGTCAGGTCAACCTTCTCTAGTACTTTCACAAAGTATCCTTCATTTCTACCATGAGTTGACCATGCACCTCCAGAACTTTACTTTTTTCCGGATCAATTTTAGAACAGACTTTCATAAATCTTTCTAGGATATACCTTTGAACAACCTGCTGCATCAACTTCTTTAACACTTTCCAATGAAATGTCAAAATCCTGAATATGTGGCCAAATCAAAAAAGATTCTCGCTCTATGTTCGGTTTTCTTTGGGATAAGAGCATTGCCATTGGTTTTGCTGAGTCAACCAAAGCACTTTGGTTAGTCAAAGCTTGAAGCTGTTTTCTTCCATACTTGTTCGTCATTCTGGTTGGTTTAACTCTGACTTTCTCAAGAAGTCGTTAAAAGCTTGAATCATTTCCTCTTCAATTCCAGAAATGTTAAGAAATCTTTCTAACAGTCTATAGACATTGCCGCCCTTTCTTACCAGATCCTTCAACAGACCTGCTTTGATCTTGTTCACCATTTTCTGTTGAATTCCATTGCCTTGAACATCTGGCCACATCTTCAGTAATCCTGTGCTCTGTATCTTTGTATCACGTCACGTCAGCATTAACGCTGGTCCCACGCAAACAAAATCAGCAGGGTCGCCACTTGACAGTTATGTCTCTCACAGAATCATCTTACTGATTCATAAACCTGTGTCACAAGGTTTTCGTGGCCTTCTAATATTTTATTCAAGTTATTCAAGTACTCACCGTAACTGCAAGGTCCTGCAGCCATTATGGGGATTTTAATTCCAACACTTGTTGGTATTTTTTCTCCATGAGCTGTTTAATTTGCTCACATAGATTAAACACTTCAGCATGATCTTGGTGTTTTTAGGCAATCCATGTGTAATATCTGTCATAAAGAAGGCTGTCAAACTGACCAGGCCACATGACATATTTTGACAGCAAAAAAAACCAATATGATGCCTAAAACATGGACAAGTTTTTAAAAAGCAGCTACGTTTATTGAACATTTTTATTTTTTTGTCTAACTGCTGGTCAGATTGGATCATCTGGCAGACCAGTTTTGGCTTGAGGGCTATAAGCACGACACCCCTGGTTTAGAGTTTTGCAGGAATTTCTGGAAAAAAATGTTTTCAATTATTTCATGACTGCTTCCTATAAACCACAGTAAAAGGTCTGTGGTCACTCAACTTTGTTATCAAATCCTCAAGCAATTTAGCTTCGACTGCGTTCCTCATCTTCAGCTGAATTTCAGGTGGCATTTAATCATTTGATTAGAACTTACTGCCAAATCCCAAATATGACTGTTCTGGCTATGTACCAGACCAAAAGTATCTAAAGAACATATTTTCTATCCTAATGTATCCATAATATATTGGCATTAAGGTGTTTAATTCATAATGATTAGTGAACTTGGTTGAAAATATTTAGAAATAAGGCAAAAATAGTTTTGAAAACTAGCATTATGTGTAAATTACTAGAGACCTTTTATACTTATCAAAATACTAATATCAGTGATATAGCCACATACTACACATACACTAGAATTACTGGGAGTATTGTCAGGTCTTAGAAATGTGCCAAATCATCTTAGCTGGACTTATTGCTTGTTTTGCTATAACCTTACCTTTCTTTTTTTTTTTTTAAGTCATACTGTGGCAAAATTTTCAAATGTTTTCTGTTTCTTGTTTCTCTTAAAATACTGTCTCTGGTTTTCCTATGAAACAGCAATTTACATGATGGATGATTTAAAGCCATTGTCTTGCCAATGTTTAATTTTCTGCCTTACTTTACCTGTTGTTTCCTTACATTACCAAAACCTGTCTTTAGTTGACAGATTTTAAATATCCATGCACACTAAATGAAAGTATTGAGACTTTAGAAAGTGTCCGCTCAGC